TTTTTTTTTTTTTTTGTGTGTTCTGCTCATTCAGTTATCGTCTAGGTAATGAGGAAGTAAGAAAAAATATTCGAGGAGTTCTTCATAATGTTATTAGGAGTTTATTAAGAACTGAGAGAAATCGGTTAATGGTGGGAACGATTCGTGTTTGTTTAATAAATTTGACGCTAAAAATAAAATACAAAATTTACTGAATTTTATTTTTAATTTAAAAGAAAAATCATTTTCAATTTAGTGTGTCTTCGGTATCATTTATCAATTATATTCATTCAAGATTTTTATTCACTTAAATCGTTCGCAGTAATTCAGTCCTTATATCTAGATTATTATTTATGGATACGTGACAATTTCATTCGATTGCTAACGTTTAAAGTTTCAATGTCGTTTACAGCGTGCAACATTCATGTACCATTTCAACTGAAGTAACATGTTTTTTAAAGGGAAGCTGGTACGGTGTATGTTAGATGAAAGTGATGTCTTCAGATGTGTTTTCGCCCAGTTTTGGTTATTTGTGGAGATTTTCATTATATTGTTAGTTCCACGATTCAATAGTGTTTTCAAAATCGTTGCAGTCAGTAATGCTTACTTTAAATTCGAATTTTTAACAAAGAAAACAAATCTACAGAGGAACGAAATGTCGGGTAGAGAAATTGAATCAACCCTCCATCTCGGTCTCGTTTTTCAACAGATTCCAGGTTTGCTATTTAACCTTTGAGTTCCTCAATGGTAGTGCAGATTTTGGTTACTTAATTGGCTAAAATATTTGAAAGTTATAAAGAATTTCAGCAAACTGCCATCTTAACTATTCCTCCTTGATTAATTGTAATAGGAATTACATAATTTTGAATTTTGCTTTCGGTTTTTTTCGTACTAGTCTCTGAATTTTGTCTCATATGAAGTAGTTTTCCCGCTGTGCGCAGTTCTTCGAACCAAGATTGGCGTAACAAATAATAAAACAACATGTTTCTAAAAGATTTCTTTTTTCAAATCTTGTTAAAATATCTGGATTCTGATGTAATTGTTTGAGAATAATTTGTCATTTGTTATCAAAATATGATAAGTAATGACAGAATGTTGTAAAAATAATCAAGCAGCTGTGAATGAAAGCTCTGTGCAATTCCCTATTATACTTAATCATGGTTTAAAAATGTGGTCCATGTACATGCATGCATTTATTTATTGTATTGGAAAAGTGTTATTGCATAAAGATTTAGAGTTGGTTTCGAAGGTGTATTGATTTTATGGCACATTTAATGTTCCCTGAGCACTACCTTTTGGGTCCCTGAATTTTCTTCTGTGACAGAAATTTATTAGTTTCAGTTATTCCACGAAGTGCATTTAATTTGGAGGCAAATTTTCACACTTGAACATGAAAAAAACATATCTTTGCTAATATTCAATCAACAACCATTTTTGAGGATGAAAATTACATAAATTTCGTGTTTAATTGGTGAGCCTCGCTGATAGCAATTGTATAACTGGACATTTTTTGTATCCTGTTAAGTTATGAAAATTTTCTTACATTTAATCTTGTAATGCAATATTTCTTGAAGATATTGGTTGAGGATTCTCACTTATGTTTATGCACTCTCATTTTATAGAAACATCAACAGTGCCAGTTACTTCTGCTGAAACTTCACGTAAGCGTACTGCAGATGAGGAAGAACCTGCAGATGTTCCCTCGGCAAGTCGTCGTCGTCGCATAGCAAGCACAGACACGTCATCATATATTGGACCGACATTTCCAAATTGTTGTGCTAATGGTTCGTTATTTCAAAAGTTGTTCAATTATAATCAATATTTTAAATTATTCTGTTCTAGTCTATATTTTTTTTTATTGATGGAAGTGCACCTCTACTATTGATAAAATTTAGTCAATCATAAAGTACATATTTGAGCCGACCGTCAAAAGAATCTTGCGCTTGAATACTGCTGAGGTGATAAAATTGTAGATTGATTTGTAGCGTAAGTATAGTTCATTTGCTATTAATGAGAGCAGTTTGATTCAAGCATGGAGTAACACGCATTAGTACTAGATTTATAAAATTTATACGATAGCTCTGTCGAGTATTTATTAATTTATGGTAGTTTTTTTGATTATTTAGGAAGTATAAAAGAGAGCAGGAGTGCCATGATAGCAGTAGTTCGTTATAATTAAAACTAGACAGAAATTGATATGATGAAATGAATGCACAGATAGAAATTTCATTTTGTCTGTCTTATTAAGTACAAAGTACAAGTTTTTAATGTAAGGCGTCTCTGCATCTCATCTACATGTATGCATGCCACTTGTATTTATTATAAGCATGACCTAGATGGTTTAATGCATATTTCATTGTCATCATGTTCAGTGACTGGCTGTTCCAAGAAATAGATGGCTTTTGTAATAACCTTCATTTGTTTTTAGTTAATGCTATATAACTCAATATACTGATCATTTTTGTAGCATTATTTTTTGCTTTATGTGTAGTTTCGATAATTTCACTAAAATTAATTCTTGATTACCATGTGCTTATGTTTGTAAATAATTGACATGTTTATGAGACTACTTATAAGGATGGATAAAAGTGAGATCTATTTATAGCATGTTGAATGGATCCAAACTAAAGCTCTTTTCATAGATTAAAAATTTTACTCAAATCATGAGAATATTCGAGAACTTGTAATTGGTGATTTATATATGGAAACTTTTAATAGATGAGGTTGAATTCGATGATGATTCTAGGGGTAATGGAACAAGCATATGTAATCCCTTCATCGCCTAGCTATGGTCCCGTGACTATTCCTAATGCGCAAGCAACCATGGCACCCATCTTTGCTCCTCAGGTCATCGCCCCTCAGATACACGCTCAACTAACTGCCGTACCCAGCAGATCTATTGTACATAACATGGTTTGTTTGATTTTAAGTTCTTTGTAAGCTCGTTTGATCTTTATGAAGCCGTACGGTTCTTTGCAGATCAGTATAGCTTAATAACGGCTGTTTTTAGTCGATATCTTTCTTTTAATATATATTATGAAATTATGAAATTCAGTTGGATTATAATCTAACTGAATTTATATTATGAAAAGTATTAATTTTTAGTTTTTATTTTTAGACTCCTATCGCTCTTCATCTTCATGCACCTCCACCTATCACATCAAATTTCGCGTATTTTCTTCCACATACAGTTAGTTTCCGCGTACCTTAAATTAATTTTTATTTTTCTTTCATTTGTTGACGAGGTCTCTTACATCTATGGCGGTGTTATGAGTGATAGTTTTAAAGGCGATGGGTGGGGCTTAGCATTTTGTGTTTGTAAGGTTTGATGCCCAGTGATTGAGTTTAGCTGTCATAGAAGTAGCAGGCTAGATAAAAGTGTATAAGTTTGTAGCACATTATTGACTGCCTATAGTACATTATTGATTGTCTGTAAAGTGATTGAATGTCTACAGGCTCACATGATACAACCTTTGATGGGTTTACGATTACCGACAGCACAGTTCGTGACGCAGGATATTCCATTAGCAGAGCAAGGTTTCTTTCCACCATTAATGGGTGACATTCCGGAGGAGTATTCTGGAATCCAACGTCCTCTGGATGATTTTCCCGTGTAAGCTGTTTAACTACCACATTTTTGATCTCTGACAGGGGAAGTTCTAAATTATGACGAATTAAAAAATTGTGTAACTCGTTTGTCTGATTTAATGGGCGTGGTTTATATAGACAAAGGATAGGATAAATGTCATGTCACTCACTCATTTTTCGTCACTGCTTTTTGTCTCATCTGTTTCGTTTTTTGATTTCATAGTTTGAGATGTATAATCTTGCATATGGCATTTTTTTTTCTCTATTTTCAGTATGATGTTAATGAGGCTTTCGTATGAAGTGAAAGTAAGGCAAGTTTTCTTTCAGTATTCCCACTCCTCAGCCACTGGCAGTAAATGCTAGTCGCAACTGGGATAATCAGTATCATTTGTTTCCTGGTTTCTCATATTTTCCAAGACCGGTCAATGCATACATGAATCCTTTTTCATCTCGTGGTCGAGGTGCTCAAAATCAAAGTGCTCAAATTGGTATTGATCATGTTCCAGCAGTGCTAGGTGGGAATCAAATAGGCAATCCTGTTTCAAGTATCGCACCCAATGTTGCTGCTTCTGCTGAGACTGGTGTTCAGTCAAATAGTGGAAGAATGTGGACTGCTAGGAATCATAATACTCTTCCAATGGTATGTTTGTCGTATTTCTCTCCCTCGGATTTCTTTCATCAGTTTTTATAGCAAAGCCAGATGCTGTGTGATTTTTAATTAATATCATATTCGTTACAGAGTTTAAAACTTATTACTGACATTTTTGAAAACTGTATTCAGGTTGATGGCCCTGTTGCAATACCAACTTTGTCAGCGCATTGGATACCTCAGCCAAACTTATTACCTAGAAGAGATGAAACTGATGATGATCTTGCTTCCTCTAGCTCGACGGAGCGAACTGATATTTCGCGTTTGGATACTGAATTTCGTGCTTGGGAGGCTGCAGTTTTACAAATTTTTGATCGTATGGCTCCACAAATTAATGCGTCTCGAATGCCACCGAGGGGAATATCCAGGTATTTATTATGCTTGGTATTAAATAAGGCATAGCTCAGTAATGGAAATTTCTTAAAACTAGAAATGCAAAGTGAAGTGCAAACTGATTAGAGTGACTTGTTTCTGAAACTTACTAGTCATATTTAGGAGTGAAATCGATAAGTTGGGATCATTTCGTCTCTCGGATACGACATTAGTAAAGGAAAAACTTTGTGTCATATGCCAGTGTGATTTTGAGAAGAGAGATTTGATTCGGGAGCTTCCATGCTCCCATCATTTCCATTTAAAATGTGTGGATAAATGGCTTCGAAGCAATCGCTCCTGTCCTATATGTCGTAAAAATGCTGTACCAGATGAAACTAACATGAATTTGGAAGCGTTAGCAGTGGCGAGTCGCTATAGTCCTACAGTATCTCAATTTGCTAGATCAGTTGAAGACGGAGTGAGTGATATTGATTTGTTGACAGCGGTTAGTGGTAATTCAGCGACTGGAACTGGACGTCCGGCGGTTCAAGTCATCACGCAAGCGGGAACTACACCTGATCAGGAAGATGATTCATCGATTCCTGATCTACAGTTTTAGGAAAATTGATTCCAGTGCCATTATATATTTTTGATTTGTAGGCATTGTTGATGATTATATTATTTGAATTAAGGAAGCAGACTTCTGTGGTTCTTTGATGTTTGCATTAGAAAAAGAAATTTCAATTCTTATATTGGGAGGAAACGTTGGTTTGTTGAGAAATATTTTTGAAAACGGGATATTTATCACAGAAGTTTTTGTAGAGACATGCACCCGCTTTTTAGGCAATCTATAGTGCTACAGTTGTTTTGTTTTTTCCAGCACCTTTGTTTCTGTTCCCCTGATTCATTTCCCTATATTATTTGCCTCTCAGTTACTGGGATGTTTTTCATTTGTAGAAACCTGCTTGCAATCTGTAAGTGAGGTGGTTTTATGAAAGTCTTCCTTGCCTCTCGTTTACTTTTATTTCAAGGTGCGTAGTTATCTTTATACAAAATAATTTGGATATAACAGCACGGTATAGCAAAAATACATTTTTTTTATCACTGAAGTTCGGATGATTTGATTTGTCATGGTATAACAAAAACGAGCATAGCTTTCGTGTGAGATAATTTGGATTTCAAAGCTAACTATGCCTCTCGGGATTAGTCGTCCAAGGATAATTGATTGATAAGGCTGAGGCCGAAGGTTATAGTACTCTAGAATTATTTCTGTTCTTGTTTCGCTATCGTAATATGGAAATACCCTTAAAAACAAAAAATTACCAGAAATTGTGCTCACTGGGTGCTATATGATGCTTCTTCTCTTGAATGCAAACAGTTAGGCATTGTTAGGAGGGTAGGGGCGTTTTTTATTGTTTCAAAGCTTAAATGATTTGATTGTTACCATGGTATACCAAACCTTAGTCCTTTCAGCTATTTCACCTTTCTTTCACAGTCATGTGGATCTCTAATTGTCAGAGACGAGTGATGCATTATCATATTTGATACATTATGTTTGCTAATATTTTATTCATCGGTGCGATATACCTGTAAGATAAAGTTCGATAATTTTCCAGGGAATTATTGTAGATCATTTCAAGCAGTGGTATTTTTAATAAGAGGAAATGTGATATACATCATATGTGAACTCTGGGAGAGATTTTCTCATAATTTCCTCAGTAATTGCTTTCCTAGTCAAATGGAACTTTGTCTTGTTTTCTTGTTCGAAGTTCTGAAATGATATGCAACATAGTTGGCATATTATTTGCCAAGAGGCAAGTTTTAATATTCATTTTCTTGTTTTTTATGTACGTCAGTGACATTTTAAACCATAAGTGTTTTAATATGTTGAACTCATTAAAGCAGGCATTTTATATGGTTATGTTAGTAATTTACATAAATTTTGTTTTAATGTAGAACATTGAAATGAAGTAGTTGTTGAAATTGGAAAGCATGGATATACTGCTTCGAATTATGGTGAATGCTGACAGCTTTGATTTCTATAAACAGTTATTATCAGAAGGAGTTGGTTTTTTGACTGATTTAAAGTGGTAGACTTTAAATTTTTGGATCACAAGTAGTCATTCCATCCTATTTCCATTTCATACAACAGTTCATATTTGACATTACTGTAGTAAGGAAGATGAAAGTAAGATGAGATCATACGCTATGTTGGTTGCACTCAATTTACGTTTATTTCTCTTATACGACTGCGCGATATTGGATGTCCCCACAGAATGCTGGAACAAAACAATTTGCGCTTCCTTGACTTGCATATAGAGAATTTATGCTCATGTTAGGCGCGAAGATACGCATTTAAACAATTCGCTTGGAAACAGTTGTTTTTCGTATTCTTTTAAGAGTGAATGGTGAAAGCTGGTTAAAGTAATACTCTGCGAGATTGAACAAAAAATGTCGGAATTGGCAGCTCAGTCAGTCATTTACTTAAGATCTCAGGGCTTTCTGAGTGGTCATAATAAGCACTGCAGGAAGTAAAAAAGTGTGGGGACTCATCTCCTGAAGTTCTTCAGCTGCATATACTGCAAGAGAATGTGATAAGGAATACATGATATTTTGTGATTGGTGAGAAAACTGGTAATATCTTGAAGTGTGCACTTAGTTATCTCAGCTTCAAATGAGAGATATTTCTAGGAACAGAACTTGATGGAATGCATAACCTAGAGTAACATATGATTTATTTAAAATCTGCCAAGAGGCAGTGATTCTTCATGTAGACAAATTCTAAATAAAGATTACTTCAGAACAAAACACTGTAGTAAGTCGATTAAGTATTCCTTTCACCGTAATATCCTTCTTATGTAGAAATTTATTAGAAGGAAATTTTTAAAATATTTGTCTTCCATTTACTGAACGATATTTGATATTCTTTAAAAAGAAATTGTATCATAAACTCAATATACACAGTGAAGTGGATGTGATGAAATATTTGCGAGAATAATAATGAACTTAGAAAAGAACTGTAGAGCTATTAATACGAAATGATCAGAGTCAATATAACAAAAGTAATTCATTCGTGATTATCAAAATTTTTTAAATTGTTGCTGTAACGTATGTTACTTGAGGGACACAGCATATTTGGTTAATGAAAGTTATTTGTTTAAAATGCTGTCACTTCGCTCCGATGTGACAGTATATTCAGCGATTCCTGAATATAAACCAGAAATGTTGACAATCCTACAAATAATCCATATGCAGTAAAGAGCGACTTTTTATAAGACAGTTTAAAACAGTAAACTACAAAACATTACAGCAACGTGATTTAATGATATACTGGAGATGAAGAAATAATCATTGTATGGGAATTTTTTTAAACATTCACCAAGAGCCTTGTTTTATTATATAAGATTTTTGCTATCCTTTCTTATAATTTAGCTCAAACCTATTAATAATAAAAGACGATTCATTGAAATTTGATTCTACCAGAGTTGTAAGTAAGCATTGTATACTACTATCCATAATTTGACTGCAGTATATTTTGTAATTGATTGTAAAAACGTCAATTTTAATGACACATGAGCAAATTGTACTAGAAAACATACCTGCCAAAATAGCTGGTGTGCCAAATGTATGGGTTATCAAGGAAAACCGCTCCATAGAAATCTGTATTTTACTGCCATTATTTGCCAGGAGCAGAGTGGTATCTTGCCTCAGTATATCCATGAAACCCAAAAGCAATTGTCTAAATTACTGTCATCACTTTCCAAAATCGAAAATTATAGAAATTTGGAAAATTGAAAAATATAACTTTGCGGTCTGAAATCTTTCTTTTTCTTTTTCCAGTTCTACATTGGACATGGTATCACATTTTTTCATTTCCAGTTGAGCAATTAATTTCGCGGGAAATTCTGTTAAACATGCATTGGCAAAATCTTTTGCCAGATGCTCTGCTTCGCCTATAACTTGTCATTTAAATCTGTATGAAAGAACAGCAAACATTATTTATTATCTCACTCAAACTGTTATTTATCATCACATTATTATCTCAGTCAGAAAAAATCAGTTGATTGTTAGTTCAATTTGTGATAAAAATCGTGAAGGTATTAAAATACTCATCAAAATTTATCACACCTTCAACTAATGATGTTAGTAACGTAATATTTCCCGACTTCTTACGCCCTGCTGGCAACTTCAATCCAATTGCTTCAAGTTGCTCACGCAAAGTTTGTCCACCATTCTTTGATTTAGCCCTCAAAATATAGAAATAATTTGTCGTAAAGAACTCCACCTATTGCGACACGTTGAAAAAAGCTGTTGGATACAAAACAACAAGAAGCTTTACAGTTATTTGGAAAACATAATAGACCAAAAATTTCTAGTCTAACGAAAGTAATTTATTTCAATAAACCTTCTTAATAATCCACCCAATAAAGATGAATTCAATGATTCTGGCGGTGAAAGTCTCCGAGCTAACTGTAAAATCATATAAGAAATAGCAGCCTTATTATGAATGAGAATTCAAGAATTTCAGATTTTTCTCAAGCAGCACAGTAGTGATATATTTAGGAATTCAAAACAGAAAGAATTAAGGAACATTTTATGCACGATATCAGCTTGACAGTTTCAAGTTTGAAGACTAGCTGTTAAGTGTTATCACACAAATATATCTGCCAAATTTTTAGTACGAATAAGTAAAACAAAAATTATTCATAACTTAATGCAAAACAGACCTCTGCAACGCTAACTTTGTATTTGCTAGATGCGCATAGCAATGACAATCTGCCAGGTACTGAACAAAACGTATATGCAGATGTTGATGGGCATATGACATTTAATGAATGTAACGAACCAGCATAAGGTTCTAAAAAATGAACCAAATTATTTATCTCTTCTATAGCCGAGAGAGTATAAAAATAAGCATTTCAGAGTAAAAATATAAAGATTAGTGTTGCAGAGTGAAAACTTTCTATAAGATTTTTGATACAGCTGCTGTAATTTTATACATTCCTACTTTCATTTTACTTATCAAGCAGAAGATAAAGTAAAGTTACCATCATTAACGATGCCACTTTCTCCCATGGCTGATTCCATTTGGGTTAATTCAAGCAAACTACTCTATAATTTTTTTTTACCACATCAATGCAATGCTTTTATCAATTTCAATTTGATGAGAAAATAATTAAATGTATCAATTAAAATGAATTTATTTTCTACACTGATTCTCTATATATCAGAAACAAGGACAAAATCAAATTAAATTCACATCGCGCCATCATATAACGCAAAATAACAATTATAACAATATAATTTGTAATAGCTACTTGCTTATATCCTGTAATAAAGGACGTGCTACGAATGCAGGCATGCTGTTAATTTTGCTAAAATTTCACATTTTCTTTCATCAAAAAAGTTTACAGCTCAATTGTAATTATATAATCGAATATGTAATGAAAATACAGAATCTTAAACTTTTATTTCTACCTAAGAGTTTATTATTTAAGATGTTGAGTATTTTTAACATTCAATTTTATAAACTCATTTATGATACAAATCTGGACTTAAAAATAAAATACTCCTCAAATTTATGGAAGCGAAAGATTAAGACTATATGACAAATTATACTCATATTCGATTGAATTCCAATGTGCCATACTTCGTCATTATCAAAACTAACAGTTCCATCAATTGCTATAAACCTGCTTTCATTCCTTCTCATGTCATTTTGCTATGAAATCAGAGGTAAAAAATTGAACAAATTCATTTGTACCGTTTTCCGACGTTTCGATGCAATTATCAGGTTATTGTCACTGCATACAAAATTACAATCAATAGAGCATTTTGTTTCCAAACTTCTTTTCTCAAGTAACAGAGCTCCAATACGATTGATGTGAGTTCCAACTGCAACTTCTTGCTCAACCAATGCCCTTTTTTTGATTCGTTTATTCGAGGAAGATAGCATTTATTTTTTTTCTGATGTCAATGAACTGAAAACAAATAACAAAGTAAATAATCACTCCATCAGGCAACTTAGAAAATTTCATCCAATAAACATTTTATTTTATGATCTGAGAAAGTAGATAAATGGATGCATATTTATAAACAGTGAAGAAATTGGTTATGACGAAAGTGAGTACCTAAGAAAACTTATGTCCCTCTGGAAAATAAGAGGTAAAAATTTTTTAAATTGCTTACAAAAAATAAATAGGTAGCACTAAAACGTCACCTACAAAAGTAACTGAGACATAACCACGTGATACTACAAACACTTCAAAGTTTAACGTCTCAATAAATTAATTCCTTTTTGTAATGTGCAAAAAAATAAATAAACCAAATTGATAGAATTATTCAGTAAAGATATCCTTCATCCTCACATTTATTATTAAGACAAGGGGATAAGAGTGCTTGATCATCGCATAGAGCTGCTATAGTGATTGAGTTGAAACTGACCTGACAGAAATAAAGAATAATACATTAACGAGTTGAATGAGATTCTCACTAACAAATGATTAAAATGATAATTTTATAAGAAAACTAATATGCATTATTTCTGCTGTATGCTATAAAGAATGGGGCATTGGATGTACAGAAAATAAAGAAAATTACGTCCGCCAACGATGGATTTCTTGACACTAAAGGAATCAGTTTTAATTAAAAACTGAGAAACGAATGTCGCAATTTTTCCTAACTAATCAATCTCAACCTTCTCTTTGTTTCACGTAAGATGAATCTAGTAGTTTATTTTGGATTCATTCCTCACCAGGCTTAATTTGTTTAATATACAGGCATTCAATCATTCAGATTGTTTGTTATCTCCCATTTCAGTTTAACTTTTCATCTGTGACTACATTCTAATGCTAATATGTAGGTGTAAATGAATGTATATGAAATGGAAGATAAAAAACAATCTGAACGATTAAATACCTGCATATTAAACAAATTAAGCCTGATTAGAAATGAATCCCAAATACACTAGACTCATCTTACGTGAAACAATGAGAAAATTTAGATTGATTAATTAGGAAAGTTAAGACTAACTTTGTCAACTTAAGCAAGTTACCCAGAGTAAATTGGTGAAAAATTCTTAGTACCGACTACTTTTTATTAATGACAAATTTCTGGGCCAACAAACTATTTTGTATTTTCTTAATTACAGTGTTGGAATATCTGTGTAGAATCGTCATTATCAGTCTACCAGCGCTGTTGAGAGCTTAAGTATCAAAAGATGATCCATTCATCTGTATCAGCATCTATCTTATATTTCACCATTGGTCTCATTATTAGACACATAAACAGCTTAAATGACATTTTTTAAGAATTTCAGCATTATTCAAGGTAAGCTTATCCAAAGAAAATACATTGAAAAATGTGATGTTTGATTGCTTGATAAAATGTTAATTGGAAATGGCAGAAAATGCCTGCACAAGAGTTAGCATACAGGAACACTCAACTTCAGAGTTATTTTATCTGCTAACCTTTTGCATAAGGAAAAGTTGTTGGTTAACGTGGTTGCAGTAAATTTTTTGTGACAAGCAAATGTTTGCAATTTAAAAAATGCATGTACCTGTATTTTCTTACATTCTCAGCTAGCAAACTTTTAATACATTTTGTACATTGATAAGTTACTGTCAGTGCAACAAACTTCACGCAATTTATAGCTTGATTCTGGCAGGAAATATTGCACGTTTAACTTTTATATATTTTTGCATTTTCAATAAATAAGTTTTATGAATTAAATTACTTCGAAAAAGGTTCTGCTCAGTCATGAAGAGCTCATTTATCAAGATCAAAATATGCGTGAGAAGCTGCAATGTGTACTCTTTTTTTTGTTATTATGTGCTTTCAGTTTTAATTAAAAATATTTCTCGTCTATATTTCTATACTTATCAATTAATTTTTCTAATAATTTGGTCATTTTAAAATTATTCTTGATTAATAATCACTTATTCCATGTTAGCGAAAAAAAATTACTGAGAAAGAGATAGACATTTCTACTCATATTTAGTGCTTATCAACAGATAATGCGCTTTATTGATTTCGTACTTTCCCCACTCAAACTAAACTCTGGAAAATGAAACTGTTTTTATGGAAAAGTTAACATTTCCTGCACAGTTTCTTAACTTATTGGTTATGATCGAAGTATTTCCTTACGATTTTCGTTATTACAGTAATAGTTGTGCTATAGAGACAGTATCCATTTCCTTTTAATATTTAAAGTTCTTTATAAAAGTAGAAAATAATATGGTTACAAGAGTAGTTACTGTTCCAAACTTAATCATTTTTGCTCATGTCCTAACTGTGCTGCGGGAAAAAATAATCAGTGACGACAAACATTTTTCTCGCTATAGAACTTCGAATGAAGCGCTAATAAGTAATGATGAAGTCAATCACTATGTGTTTAGAGGCTGACGATAAAGACAGCAGCATAGAAACTAATTCTGAATGACAGTGAGAGTAATTCCGTAACAAAGAACAATAGCGATAATGTCAGACAAGAAGAAATGACAACAGAAGTGATAGAGGGAGTAAAAGATATGATAATAGAGGCGACAGAGGGAGTAAAAGATATGATAACAGAGGTGATAGAGGGAAGGAAAGATGTGATAATAGAGGTGATAGAGGGAATGAAAGATATGATAATAGAGGTGACATAGGAAGTAAAAAATGAAACCACTACACACATTTAAGGAACTTTTTCCTTAGCTTTTAACTAACTGCTCAGATTAACTTTCATAACGAAAAGCTAATTTTGCATATATACAAGATAAACACAACAATTGAGTATGACAAAATGAGAAGTAAAGCAAAAAAAGAAAGTAGTTGAAAGTAAGTTGGTGACTTATATGTGAACATTTATAACAAAGCAACTTGAGAGACGCCTTCGAAAAATATCTTCAGTAATTTACTATTGCATGGTGGTTATATTGGCTAGGATAAGGTTAAGGTTGCAAGCAACTTTCAGCAGATAAAACCGCTTATCTGTAATTTTGGGCTGAAACAAGAAGTAAAGTAAAGTTAAGGGAGCGAACTGAGTTAACCAAAGGTAAACTAAACAAGCACTATAAAGACCAAACTGTAACAGCACTGGTAGTTCTGCACAATTACGATACAACAAAATCAATAAATACTCTTAAAGTTTCCTACTCTAAGCATTCTTGTATTTCTTTGACTCTCACAGATTGATGCAAATTTCATCGCCTTTTTCCCAGCTGGCATCGCACCGTCTTTTTAGTGCGGTACTTGAAAACTGTTGAACCCTTTGAGTGTAGCGTATACAAAAAGACTACCAAACATGCAGTAGTGCTAGAAAGATGCCTTAGGCAATACTACTTGCTATATTGTCCATTGATATTTCTTTAATTTCTATTTCAGTAGTTCATTTCACTTTAAGTTTGTATACACAACGTCTCCATGTTTGTGTTTATTTCCCAAATCGTATGTATATCAGAGAGACTGAACTCCATCGTACATTTGCGTCTTTTTAATCTATCGAGCATTCAAGCATCTCTAATACTGTTTGTCAAGTTAACTTATATCATCAGCATACAGTAACTGCAGTTTACGTGATAATAAGTGGAAGGTATGCGTGGTAGTCTTCAAATCCATCATATTTGAAATGCACTGTGTAAGGGACCTATTTTCTTATTTATTTAGCACTTCTCTGTCAAAAGTATACGTTTCATTTATATGATCAAAACGACATTGCACATATTGCCAGAAATTTTATTGTAAAAATAAAACAAGCAAAAATTAACAAACTTATGCTTTCATTTTCCTTTACATAAGAGAGCAAGTGAATTTTAGAATAATGTTAAGATGATTGGTTGTGACGAATGGCAATAATGATAAATGTTAATAAATATGGATATAAGGCATGACTTGTTTTTTGAAACTGAATCATAAAATAAAAAGGACGACGAAAGGATATATATATACGACATAAACAGCTTTTTTAACTTCAAACTCAAAAATTATAGACCATACTTTTCTTTATTATAACTACATCAGAGTATCACCTAAATGCTTTACACATTGTAACAGTTTATTCATAAATATGGATAGATTCTTCCCGCAAATACCTGCTAGAAACAAGTCATCAGTACGGGTTGCTATCTGCTGTGCACTTGTATAAATTAACTTCTTTCCAGGATCAACATTTCTTTTGAACTACTATCAAATCGCAATAGACCCAACCGTCGTATGTAACCAACTCTAGTAACTGAGACTGTCAAAAAAGTCATTTAATTACGCAGTAAACATTCTTCCCGTAATTTTCACAATTTCACCAAAATGTATAAAAAATTTTCATAGAGACATGATCAGAGTAGTATAAACGGACATCATAAGTATGTAATTTTGTTATCATTTCAGACCTAATTTCGTTAATAGTTGGTTAACGCTAGCGTGCATTTGATAAAGTAAATGAGTAGTGAAATATTTTATTATCATTTAGAGACTTTTCAGTAGAAAGAAAGTTTTCAGCTGTATGATTTCCAATTCTTGATAAAAAAAAAAGTGTCATTCTATACTATTTCAACGTATTTGGTGGTGTCGATGAGCGATTGAGAAATAAGCAGTACTAATAGTGCTAGTACTAGTGGTGCTGTTAGATAACAACAATAATTGTGAAGTATTATTAGAAATAGCTTATTCATCTTTTATTTCACAAGGAAGTTAAAACTTAAAATCTTCTATTGCTTATACTTATTTTGTGCACTTTTTTTTGTTTTAAATACAAAGTAATCGTTGACTTTCATGGTGGTGTCGGGAAAATTTATGACTAATTTTACAGTTTATAATTCATTTATTCGCTCGCATTTCTCGTTTTATTTTACCATTGATTGTGTAATAGTGTAAAAAGTGAGTAGAAAATTCATCTCTATTTCTTTTCTTGCTCTTCAGTTTTTATCGGTCTTACATTTCTCGAATGCGTATTTTTGAATATGTCATACAAAATTCATTTCAAAAATATGCAGTGAATTAATTTCTTTCATTTTTAATAGTTTCGCTTTGAATTTTATGAAACAAACATGAAGTCGTATCACTTGATATTCAGACATCTGAGATTTACCTTGATTGTGGTATTCATTTAAGTACTATTTAATTACATTCACATCGAATATTTTGATTTGTACGTTGTCCTTACTTGTATTGCTTTCAGCTTTATTATAACTTTACTTAATATATGCATGCCGACATGTCATGTTGATTTGTATGAGATTTAATTAACATAATTTTAAGGTGGCTTCACACTTAATTGCAAAAATGAATACTAAAGATGTGGATCGAGGAACATTATCATGTAGTAAAACAAGAACTGGGAGTCTTTTATTCGATGTTAATGAAGCTCTCAAAGAAGCTCGAGAAATTATGACTGATGGGAAACCACGTGAGCGCCACCTAGAGCATTTGTTAGAGGAATCGACAACCGTCCAAGTGTGTTTGGTTGTTTACTAATGCTTACCATATATTCTTGAGTGTAATAGTACGTATTATAAAGTTTTATTTTCGTTTTTGAAAAGAATTTTATCGAATGAAGTTTAAATCTTTATTAATTCTGTTTTTATGATTTGTTTGAAAGTAATTTTTTCCAAACTTTTGAAACGACGTTGACATATGTTATTGTTTGAAAAATAAAACCTGAATTTCCTGTTAAAGAGAATGAAAATTTTCTCATTGCAGGTGCTAAAAGCTGGGAGGCATGGTGATCCTATTGAAATTGTTGTTACTCGTAGTACTGTGACTTCTCAACCCAATACAGATGACGAAGATGATGGTTAGTTAACGAAATTTAGCTACAGTTTCTTAAATGGCTGGATAAAGTGCTGTATTCTTTCCCGTTCGACTATTATAGCTTCTCACGTGTTTATTATTGCAGGAGCATTGTCAGGAAGTGATTCCGAATCACTTTTGCAACCGCGCACCAAATCCAGTTCTCTTTCTCGTAGCTATACTTTCAGTGGAGAGAGGAATTCTGATGATTTCATCTCTCATCGTACAAATATTCATTATCGACGAAAACGTGGTGACAGTTGGCGCTTAGATGATGGTGTAAAAGGTGAAGATGACGGGCATTTAGAGGTGTGTACGATACTTACTGCTACATAAAATCTTATTTATAAAACATTTTTTACTTAATCTCGTTTTTATATTGTTAATAAATTCAAGTTTATTTCTTGCTTATTAATGAGGCTTCGTAATTTACTATGATATGGTTTACATATTTTAATTGTTCACTGTTGATGGTTGTAGGTGGAATTAAAAGCTGAATATGGACAAGATGACGATGGAGAACTTTTTGTGAAAAAGGTAGTAACGAGTAAAGATTCGTTTAACTCTTAGTCTTTGAACTTGTTATCAGTCCTGTGTTTCCGATCGTTACATCTCTTTCATTCAGCATTGATAAGAAAGTGTTTATACAATTACATTTAAAATTATTTGCACACTCTAGTCTTTGCTTTTTTTAGGAAATCTTTCAAAATTGAGACTTCATATTTGTTTATTTGCACGTATATGACTCTATCTACTTAATTATAATATACCGGATCTCCATATTAATTGATAATACCAGTCTTGAGAGGATGGCTGTTCATTTATCATTTTTCAAAGGATACTGAAAATATTCGGAGCAGTTTTGTTTTCGGTAAACTTGATCAAATTGTTAATTTTACAGCTCTTGAGACATTCACTTGTCAGTTTTATGACTGTTGAGACATTCATTAAAATCTACTAGGATTTCCATGAAATTGAGATGTTCAGAAATTTTTTAACAATGACTGCTGCGTTTTCAGTCTTGGGAAGCAACCTGGCGTGTACAGAAATTTGAGTATTTACCGGAATGGCTTCAGGATAATGAATATTTGCGGCATGGACATCGACCACCATTACCAAGCTTCGCTCAGTGTTTCCGCAGTATTTTATCGATTCATACTGAAACTGGAAATATTTGGACTCACTTAGTCGGTGAGAATTTAAAAGTTTTTTTGCTGAATCAAATTGCGGAAAATATAGTTCTCTAACTTCAAAGTAATTCAAAACATCTGATTAATGAAGTGTAGCAATTAATAAGTGATAGAAAAAAGTGATATGGGATTTACGCTTAACAAAATTCCATTTAAGGAATCGATATGAGTAGGTTTCCAGTGATTTGGATTAATTCAAGCTAATGGCATACATTAGTTTCTTGTGTCCTTAATTAAAGCTGTAGTTGTTTTAGATTAAATTTTAAGTTTTCTTATAGGGTGTCTTGCATTTGCGTTACTGGCTACTTGGTTCATGACTCGACCTGATACTGATATTCGTATCCAAGAGAAAGTAGTGTTCTCTTTCTTCTTTGCCGGAGCCATTATTTGTCTTGGCATGTCATTCACTTTCCATACAGTAAGCTGTCACTCAGTTGCTGTAGTACGCATTTTCTGCAAGTAGGTTTCTTTCCTAGTCATATATATGTATGGAAACAGTAAAATAAATTGTTTTTAATATCTGTAGTGTGTATTTTATTCTTTTCCCCACTGATTACAGATTAGATTACATGGGCATATCATTATTGATTATTGGCTCATTTGTACCTTGGATATATTATGGCTTTTATTGTCGCCGTGAACCAAAAATAACTTACATCGCAATGGTGTCTGTTCTGGGTTTAGGTGCAGTAATTGTTTCACTGTGGGATAAATTCAGCGAATCACGATATCGACCGCTCAGAGCAGGCGTCTTTCTAGCAATGGGATGCAGTGGTAAGTGCTTAATAATGATATACCTATTAAATCTGTCAAATCCGTGATCGATACGTGTATTAAAAAGAATAGGAGACTGTGATTATTTTGTTTTTTTAATGAAACTATAATATGAATTGAAACAGCGTAATATCATCTTTTCTTCTTTGTAGCATGGTGTACAGCTACTTTTTCTCTTGTTTTGAAATTAAGAGGCTAGTGTCAATTGAATTTTTCGGTCGTATTTGTAACGAATTGATTGCAGGTGTGGTACCCACTGTTCACTTTATGATAACTGATGGAGTGCGAACATTATTTCAAGATGCAGCATTCCACTGGCTGCTGTTAATGGCAGCCTTATACATTTTTGGCACATTGCTATATGCTACACGAACACCCGAACGTTTCTTTCCTGGCAAATGTGATATTTTAGTACGTCTTTTGAAATAAATGTTCGCTGCATTTTGAATTTTTTGTGACCTTGTTTTGTATTTACTGAATTTTATTGTCTTTCATGTTCCTATTTCCAGTTTCAATCCCATCAGCTGTTTCACATCTGTGTTGTTGTTGCGGCATTTGTTCATTACTACGGAATATCAGAAATGGCAATGCATCGGATAAGGGCTTCTTGCCCTATGGAAAGTGATGCTGTAAGAGCATTTCATCACCTCGTGGAAGGTGTTAAAAAGGCGGTACACGAAGCATTGTAGAGAATGTATCTGAGAAACGTGATGCGTGCTCCTTAAGTTTTTCACTGAATTTGTGTGAAGCTGAATGAATACTGGATGCAGATAATATACGAAAAACATGAATAATTGTGGTGTCAATATCTGAAGTATAGTTTTGGCCAGCTTTATGCGAATCCACAAACTTTAAGTGATGTTTATTGAATTTTAATGACTTTCAGAACGAATGTCACAGGAAATACATCAGCTTTATATGTAATGGGAAATCTTGTGATGCCTTTGCACAATGTTAACTGCTAAGCTGATCATTGTGTGCTAAATATCTCTTTGACTGACATCGTTTATATTTTGTTTTCTCCATATTATGAAATGTAGCTGGATTGTTTTAATGCCTTACATATACTGCTAATAGAAACCGTAAAAGCAAAATTCTCTAGTTAGACTATATCGTTTATTGCCTTTCAAATTAAGCAACCGAACAGTTATCAATACTTTTTACATAGTATTTGTTGAATTCATATTTTCCAGAACGCGCGAATCTATGTTTGTCCGATAAGACAATATGTGGTTATTTAAAATTACGAATAGCGAAGGTTTGTAAGCGTGAAGTAATGTTTTTGTCTTTGAGGCACTCAATCTCACAATAGCAAATATACCGCAGTTCTGTTCTTGGAACTCTTACTCTATTAACAAACCGATTTGACTTAACTACTAAATAATTTCGGATAGAAATGTGCGCATACTTTGTTAATTCTTCTGTCAATGCATTTGAACGATAAAATGTCATAAATTGTTAAGCTTTTAAAGATTTGAGCTTGATAGGAACTATTGTCAATTTACTGATTGACATTGTTCATTACTGCTTAGAACAGTCTAACCAGGGCAGTTTTAGTCATATGTTCTGTTTTGCATGTAAAAAATCCGCATATACTATTTCTTTGTTGGAAGAGTTATATGCTCATATTCTGATACTTTATCGTAGTTAAGTGTGGCAAGAAAAAAAGATTATGATACTGGAAGGCATAACACATGTGCTTCAAAATAAACTGGTTCTGGAGTTCAAGTACGTGTAATTAATGTGGTGCTGTTGATCTCGTCCAAGGGCGATATCAGTTGTGTAAAGAGTTATCTCCTGCATTGAAATATGTAAGGTCTTGTTTGTGCGGCTGTTGCATTTGCACTATAAAGTAGGTGAGAAGACAAACGTTCAAAACACCAATGGCAATGTTTGGAGAAGTTACTTCATCTGGTGATTGTTGCAGAAAGTTTTTTTTGAGCAATCATTCGTGATGTAGTTTTAATGACAGAATGCTTGTTTCTAGGTGCTGATATCACTAGTTATTGCTTAATTTTGGTTCTGCATATTAACTGGAGATGTGTCTTGCTTTCCTGTAAAATTTAGACTGGAATTAAGAACTTACCTTGAAGTGATTTCTGCTAGGAAATTCTCCATAGAGTTTATCTGAATTCTAATTGCTTTGTTGGTATTAACGAGTGAAATGATCTAGGTATATTTTTTAAATATTTGCTGTCTACATTTAAATTTGTGAGTATTTGCGGTTTGCGGAGTTTTACGGAGTTTTAGTCTTTAGTCAGAGACGTTTTGAATAATCGTACACGCTTTTTTAAAGTATTTGCGCATATTCCTTGTGATTGTCCCTTCTTTTGAACTAAATCAAGTAGCAAACTTTAAAGAATTTGTGTTGCTTGATGAGAGCATAGTGCTTAGTTCCAAACAGCAGTGATGTAAGTGGCTTGTTTGCGGGTTTTGCACACTGTATACATTATTGTTGCTTACTTACCACTCTATTTGTTATTCTAGAAGTTCTCTATCTTTAGTGGGTCAAGATAATGTAACGTTTCTTTTAAGAAAAAGGTTTGTTACGTGCCATAAGTGATGAAATGTTGTAATAATCTTACGTTAATGCTCAAAACTCATAGTCTGAACAAAAATGTGTACATTAAGTCATGTGTGTTTTTTTTCTAGAAAATTTCGTGAAGTATTATTGATTGTTATGATTACTTTACAGCCGTTTAATCTTCGAATAGGCGCAATTCTGTAGAAGAGTTTTCCATTCATTTTTGCTCATTATCGTAATTATTTCATTTCCTATTCCTTTTTGATAATTCTCGTTGTTCACTTAACTTTAGTAATGATTTGACGAAATGCTACAAGCAAGTTCTTTTCACATTATTCTAGTATTGAAAAATCCTAGTATTTGAATCAAGAGATCTTGATCTTGTATGGATCAGATTAAATCTCAATACCTGTTCACAAAAATTTATAGTGCCAATGATGATATCCCATCTTCGTTGTCATTGTGTGTTTATGTTGTCTTAACAGTTTAAGATAGAAATTGATCCGAGTTTGGTAATCTGTGAAGGAGTGAAGTATATTAGAAACTTCGTTGTAGCATTCTATTTTATCATAACACTTTGTCTGTTTAGTCCATTTAGTTCTATCTTACTAATTTTTGTTCTTAAGTTTAGTAACATTAAAATTTAAGTGAGTACAGATAAGGACATTGATTTTTTAAGCATTGAGATTTTATATGCTACAAAGTGAAATTACTGTGTTGATACACAGAATAGATCGTTTTTATTTGATCGAAATTTACATACGAAGATTATAGATTGGTAATTGTCATGAAGCTTTATCGTGATGACTGTTCTTCGGCGCTGAACCGCGTAGATGGATTTACATGTGTCTTCGCGAAAATTTTATCAGTGATTCCTTTGGAAGTAGAAGACAAGACTAGTAAATTGTATTTGGGCCGAGTTAATGAGAATGTTTCTGTAGAAGATGTTTTCCCTGGCGATTATTGTTATCTTTTGCTTGATGCCACTGTTCGACCTATCAGATGCATTCGTCTGACCATTGTACCGGAGTACATTCAGAAGTTTGCTGAATACCAGCTAAGACGTGCTCGTGCATTGAAAACACATAACAGTAACTTTTATTGTTTATAATTGTCGTTACTTTGTTCTTTCAATTACTGTATATTAAATTTTGTAGAAGTTATATGAAGTTGTTTTGTATTCGACAAAAATATTTAATACATTATTACAGGTCTTTTTTTATTGAAATTGAATAAGAAATTCTTGGACGTTATTATCTACGAATTTCTATTGCTGATTATATATTTGGGAAACTTTAAAAAATACCAAAATATATCTGTTATAGCTGCATACTTTGCCATGATGAAACTGCATTAGTCCTTTTTTGTAGTCCTTGTTGTGAATTTCAAGTGTAATGATTGAGATGTAAGTGAAAATGAGTTACTTTGATTCACAATCAAATTATTAAAAACAAAAAATTTTGGTACCTTATGTAATTTCTGATGGATAGAAATCCTTTTAATATGAATTGCAAATAGTATTATTGCAAGTGGTTATTAAAGTAAATGTATGAGATTAGATGTAGCTTTATTTAATATTAAGTGTTTGTGAGATTAAAAGCTAAGCTTCACCTAGGTAATGCTTGACTTGTCCATTATGATTCAGCCATTGTTACAGTTTGATTCATAATTTTTTCAGAAATATCAAAAAAAATGAACTGCAAGTAATGTTTGAAGAAGATTCCTCAAATAGTCCTCGACCTCTAGAAATGGTTTTTTAAGCCGCATTTTGTCGTAACTAGCCATAATTACACTACGAAACTTTACCTAGACGTACCTCTAGAAGAGCTATTTTGAATAGCAGTAACTAAAATACATAGTTCCATGATTTCTGCCTTATGTAAAACCGACTGCAACCAACTACAGTAATACACCAGAACATTTTTCTTTAATATGTGCTTATGTGGGATTTCCTACCTTTGCAAACCGTATTTTTCAATCCATCATAGTTTCAGCGAGAAACGTGTGCCATTACATCATTACTTCAGTTATTAGTTCTTTCAGTAGTTTTGCTGAAAGACGATTTTGTTCAATAACATCTTTGGTGCAGAAATAACATCGTCATTAGTAGAATTATTTATTTCTGTTAACGAAGATGATGATACATTTGGAATGTTTCATCAGCTAAAGTAATTCATTACGTTTCAAAATGATAACCACAAACATAATTTGTAAATAATAACCATCTCAAATGATTAATCACACAAACTACCAAAAAAATAGAGTTTGCGAATATTCTAAAAATCGCATCCATGTTTTGTTCCGGCAAGAACATTCGATACAAATATTGCTCTGCCATTTCTTTTTACAATCTTAATTACTTTAGCACATCAAATGTCGAAATTGGGAATAAATAGTTCAGCAAAGATTAGTACCAATATTCATCAGAAATACACTCTCCCATTTCACACGGGTGGGCAGAATGCGACTATGGAAACGATGGATACGATGGATTTTTTGGGCTTTCTCCAGAAGTTCGCTGCAAATCCAATCACTGCACTCACGCATGAACATTGTAATTGGAACTTCCTCTGATAACTTACCACTAATCTCGCAGACAAGGTAGCTGAAACCTGTTTAGTAACAAAAATTTCAAAATTTTTCAATTATCTAAAGATATAAATTCACCAAATAAATAAAGATTGTAAAATTATTTAGACTATGATCATTGTTAGGTGTGACAAAAATACCATTATTACATTTAGCAAGGGTCATAATCGTAAATAATTGGATTTATAATAGTTACTATATGTACTATCACAATCAAAATAAAAGTGCTAGTAATAAAATACCATAACTATGGTTGATGAAGTAAATCCAAGATGATATTCATGTTAATTGTATTAATAATGGTGATGAAATTAAATGACAATGAAACAATAACAATAACAAAATGACACGTGAAGACATCTCACCAAGCTATATCAGAGGTGTCAGCATAGCACTGCAAAATGTGATTGTTTAGAGCTAGGATATAACCGATCGGTTGCTGATTTTGAACAGCAACTATGCCCAACATCTGCAAATTGCATATTTTTGAATGGATCAGAAATGTTTTTTGATTTTAGAACATTACTAAGTAAGGTTATTTATTATTTTTGGTGCTATGAACAACTGATTAGCTTTATTTGAAAACAACAAAGTTTACTAGCATGGATTGCTAGTAAACAATGGTCAGACGAATGCATTTTTCGACTACTTTTTTTTCATGAGTAAAAAAAGTAGTCGAAAAATGTAAATCAAAACTTGAAAACATACTCCATCTATACCCCACAAAAATTCCAAAAAATCATGTCGATTGACGACAGTAATCATAGAATCGTAATCACTAAAGTATAGCTGATTTTCTGAATTCAATTCCATATAAGAAACATCAGAACTTTTCGTCCGTTTATTTTCAGTAATTGCCCGCAGATCGGACCTGTCGTAAAAGTGTATAACAGCAAATAAAAACCAAGAAATTCTAACTCATAGGTCTAAACTTGAAAAATGACTTACTGAAATTTTACAAATATACATTTTTACTGCAATTTTTCATATCTAATCTTACTTATTAATGGTGATTTCAAAATAGCGTTTTTTATCAGTAACCATAAAACCCATCATATCTCTATACAACCAACGTGTTTTGTCAGTGCTGAAATAAACCGATTAAATACTACTGATAATATCATCTAAAGATATCACTTTTGTCTTAATACAGTACAGAATATTCTGTTCTTTCTTATCATTTTATATTATTATAAAGTTAATTGAAATTCGAACAAATCGATGTCGTAAAGATCGACGGTGACGTTTTTACACATATCCATGTTATATGTTTTTATCGTGGCATTGACTAGCTGATCATATACATGGACAAGCAAGTGCTGCTGGTAACGATCCTCAAATGCTCCAAAATATTCTGGTAATCTCGAATAATCAATATCTTTGTCGTATATGTTACAAATCTGCAAATTTATTTTTGTGTTTAAATATGAATACACTAAAGTTAACGATATACCATTAAAGACTCAAGGAATTTTAGCTCATCCGAAGACTGAAACAACTAAATCATCGTATCGAATTAATAAAAGGTGCAATTTTAAGATATTTAAAAATTAAAATCTATAACTAAAAGTGTGCAGTTATAAGACACGACAGCTCTTTTGTGCGAGATTTAAATGATACGCACGAAAAAACAGTTAATACACTAATTTCACACGTAACGCGAAAAATACGTCACGTACTACGTACGCTAATAAAGTATTCGATATCTGCTTAAGCACACTCTTATTTGCTCAGATCAGAACTTGTATTAGTTACATCACTTATTCATGCACAACAACATACTTGCCAGCAACGCTGACGGCATCCATCTCTTTCCGGAGAATATTCATCGTATTTGCATTTTTTAATAGTTACTGACTTCTCAGTATATTTCGCATCACATTCACAAAACATCAAGTATGCCTGAAACAAGAAACGCTCCAAAATAAATCATTGCACGAGTAAAAGAGAAAAAATATTAAAACAATCCTAACCAGTGATACGTATTACGAACTAGGGTCAGTTTTTTGGAAGATTGAAAAGTAAACTAGGAGCAAGGTTATTTTTGGCATTCGATTTCATTCAGAAATAACCTGATTACTGGCACAAACATGCATGGCACCATATGCAGCAACCGTTGGTTTATTCGTAGCCGTATTGTCTAAAACAACGACCGTTGCAACATTATTGCTGTCTACAAACGCCATATTATTATTGTCTGGCAAAAAGTGTCCTGATAGAATGTTTTCCGAAAATCGAGTATTTTGAATGAACTGACAAAGTAATTCAGTTTCAATCATCCTGAAGATGCTTCGAAATAATTCTAAGCAATTGTATTAAATTCATTCATATGTAAAAAATGAAGAAAACGATAATCATAGGGTATATATACATAATGATTAGTTTATTTAATTACAAATGTAAGAAAGACCAGATAAAACAGCTATACCAGTTTGACTCATAGTTTATGCGCATTACAGATGATATTTCAATGCATAAATTCATTTCACTGATTGTTACACTGCGCTGTACTGACTATATTTAGCCAATGTCGGATAAGAAAATGTATTACTTAACTAGTAAAAATAATTTCGTTATAAAACTGTGACTTGATTCTTTGCAAGCTAATTTGAAATAAAAACTAATATCTCAAGTTAAAAAAAGCATAAATATGCGAGATGAATAACTATTGAGGAATTTAGTGATTATTTCCAAAAGTTTTAATCGAATTTCGGAGAAATCATCATTACTATAGTACTTTACATTCGGAACAGCAATGAATTACCACTTGTAATAATTTTGCGCACATGAGGATTTTATAACAGATTTATTTTGGTCAGGTTTTGCGATGTTTTTGACCTAATAAAAATGTAGTTTTGAATAAATTAGTACATGATGAAATTATACAGTGACTCAAACTAATATAATGCGAAAACCTATTATGGCAAATAAATGATATACCATAAATAAAGATCTCTTGGATAACTGAACAAAAAAGTGAATGAATGGGTAAAATTTAAATGACAGTAAACAAATTCCAAAATTATTGGAGTTACTTATTCCTTAACCAGTCAAAAATGTCAACCAGTAATTTATTAGCATGCAACAGCAGATAGACATGGAGATGAAGAATCATTTGCTAGATTCAGAAAGGATACAGAAATGTGATAACAAATGACTGATAATGTGCATCCGCAATAAATAAAGCGAAAAAATACTAAAAATTCTTCAAATATTAAATTATCTTATGAGATATGAGAACAATAGAGACGGAAATTATTAAAAGTATAAAAACAATATCACTCATTTGTTTCCGAAAAAAATTTGTGGATTTCAGAAGATTACACATGATAAGAAATCTTGCAAGCTTACTCACTCTTCAAAAATTTGTAAAGCTTGACACATTTCCAAAACTTGATAAATTTGAAAAAACTTACTGAGAAAAAAATCATCCTTTTATTTTAACAATAATTCTAACAATAACATGTAAGGACGATTTATGATTAGCAGAAAATACATGTAGGACTAAGAATACTAAATAATGCAACTACGATATAAGAAGGCAGGAAAGAGGCTGAAAGAAAGATGATAAATGAATAGATTTTGTATTCTGTCAGACATAATGGGTGAAAAATCGCGCCAAATTGCAATTTTTGAAAAAGTTACCGCCAAATAAATTTTTTTGAGAAATCGTCTTTATTATTCATAAAAACAGTGTCTTCAGTTATATTTGTCAAAAGTATAAAAATATGAATCAGTGAAGAAATTTAAGTAGGACGTATTTGAATGTAATGAATACAAGTCACTGAGTAGTGCATTGTAAATGTTACATAAAGTAGTCTTTTGTTGCAGTTTTCTGATGCTCATAATTGTCAAGAGTGGATAAGGAACAAAAATCAAGCTCAGATAGAAATGAATGTAAGAAGAAAAAATTAGTTATTGGATCGATGAAGTAGAGATGTGTTAAGATAGGAGAGAAATGAATGAATGGCTGAATAGTTAAATGAATGAATCAGTAAGTAACATTTGTGAGGAAACGTGGAATGGCATAAATGATGCATATAAGTTGAAACTGGACATTACCATGATACAACAAGAGTAACTAACTTTTCATTGAGCTAAAATGAAACTTAAGAAGAAACGATACAGACAACGCCTTCTTGCAATCAATAAATAATACATACCAGTAAGCATTCATTACCTAAAGATGGTATCTTGCAAACTGGTAGTGAATGATTAGCAAGAAGTGATTAGATGAAGAAATGGGCTCCAAAACCGAAGTTGCTTGTAAAATTAATCACATATTTGGTTAGACAAAATAATTCGTGCAAATGATAATGAATTGCAGCAGTTTACTCGTTTTGCTGATCAGAACAAAGTGTTAGAATCGCTTAATGAAGCACACGATAAGTGAGTATATACGGACTAAACGGTATGTTGCCAGCAAGTAACAGTATTAATCACAACGCAGCATAGCACAATTTATTGTTTCCATTTTATGTATGAAAATCCAGTGGTATTTCTACTTTATCCGGAATTGAAATACGAATACATAAAAGCAAGTCTCAGGATTAAGTGAAACAATTCATTAAAAATTATCAAACACCACTAAAAGTTATCAAAATAGATACCTTTAAAGTATCGCAACATAAAATTCGCCTACAAGGTAAAATCAAGATGATGGGAAATGGGCTCTATTTAACTGATATGGAGATCTGATTGCGATCACTGATAATAATGAAGTAGACCGATACACGAAAATGGCCATCCTATTCAGAAGTAATAATAAGAAATGTGCAATTTTTTTGCCCAAGAACAGCTCATAATACTATACCGACTGAAAATTTTTTTAAAATTTCTGAGCAAAAAAAGAAATCGAGAAGGTTGTTTTCAATACTTTAGCAATCGAAAAATTAGTAGTAGCTAAGTACTAGTTCTGATACTTTGCTAAAATTCAAATTAGGAATCAAATAGATGATAGATAGAAATGAGGTAGCAAAGGTGAAATAAAAGAACGAGCACACATAGAACCATCTTTATTCACCAATTTATATGCAAATTGACCACTCCGCCTTACCCTGCCCTCTTCTCTTTTCTACCATTCAAAGGCGATTTATTCCGGATTAAGGTCAAAAAGAATTGCTAAACAACCCTTCCATTTACATGTCATCACCATATATTGTTATTGTTATTATCGTTTATTATTTTTATTATTGATTATCATTGTTATTAATGATCATAATCATTGATCAATGTTGAGCATAGATTATACCATTTATTCAACACTATTTTATTCTAGAAAATATCACTTAATATGCAGCAATTTTTTTGTGTTTGGAGTGAAATAATTAGCTTTTAAAAAATTTCTTCATTAACAATCATTTCTCTTTTCATAACAAGGTAGGCAGCCTTTGTTTAATTAGCACAAGTTACATTTACTTATTATGCATTTGGATTGGGTACGAATGTTCTGTTGTCATAATCACCTAGTTGTCGTTAAATGTTCATGGCATGAATAAGTGAATTCATCAAAATGAAAGGTATGCATAATGGCTGAGTCATTATCCTTTATGTTTAATCATTTGTAAGAAGGTTTGATCTGCATAATTATAGGAAAATATAAACGAGACTTTAATTCTGCAGTATTTGCTCTTGAAAATTTTTGTTTTTAAGACTTTCAGAACGATGATAAGATTTGTGAATAATGAAGGTTTTAAGTCTAGTCAGTGGGTGAGTATCAGCAACCAAAAAAGAGATATAATTAATCTCATCTACAACAGTGATATTATTTTCTGTTTTCCTGAATGCTTGAAATTTGATTAAAAAATTATGCTATTTATATTGCAGATAAAAATATCTACAAAGTTAAATGCGAATACAACTAATCTTATTTATGTTGTGCCCATGAAAAATTCATTTACTGATTGCTATATAGCTGGTAACATTTTGTAGCAACTGAAGATGGGTTGATTTGTCATGACTGATAAGAGCATTAACATTGTGCAATTTCAAGTTCTTGATCTTATCAGTTCTTTCTTATGACAAGCCGAATAGAAGTTAAGTTACAAAGAGAAGATGGGTAAAATGATAAGAATCAGCTGAAATAAATTTATATTTCCGTCCATCCATTTTGCAGCATTCAACATATATACAAGTTATTTATGCTATTAAAATTCAAATAGTTTACTTCAATTAATATGCCTCAGCTAATTATTCACTGAATTAAATATAACACACTTAACTACTTGCTCATTACAAAAACTATAGCAATTATAAACAGACTGGAAACGGTAGAGGAAATCATGCAGAAATAATCATAACATATAGGTAATTCATTTCAATTTAACTGAAAGAATCAGATTAAAAAAACGAATTGCAAAACTGAAGAGAAAATTATAAGTGTCCGTTGTATAAAAGAAATACCACATTTAATTGATACTAAACAGGTCTCATTCTTCACCTCACATATTTATTTATAGTGAAACATAAAAGAAAAAACAAATTTTCTTGCCACAAACTTTTTAACTAAAAGGCAAATACCCAAATATTAAGCTAAGACCATATGCTTAGTATATTTTACAGTTAACTTCAAAACAAATACTTATATTTGTTTCTAATTCAAAAATGAAAAGAGAAAGAACAAATGAAACCAATTTTGACACCAATCATGAAATCTCTCGCAAGCAATGTGAATAATGGAGAAGTTAGTTGCTCAAATAAACAGGAAAAAGTAATTTTATGAAGTAACTATAAAATCGTAACATTCAGCCACATTTCTTACATGTGCTAAATTGTAATTATAGAAAGAGAATGCAAAGAAGTAGAAGCTAGATGCTATGGTATTGTGTTACTGTCCACATTCTGTAGTTACCATGTAGTCAAGTATGAAATAGCTCTCACAACATTCATAAAAAACTACATTTCACTTTACTTCCTTTTCTGGATCAGGGATTACAATTAATTTCATTGTTATTGGCTGCAGATAAATCAGATTCACTAAACTTATATATTCCTTCTTATTTATCGTCAGATCACCGAAAAAAGTAGTGAATTGTCGGTCGATCAGCGATTGATTCAAAAACCTCTTTGGTACAACTAAACTTTCATATCTATTTCATATTTTGCTCTTTTATTACATCCATGATGCACTCTTAATAGTGAATAACGGCACTTCCATAGATAATCAGTTCTCAGAATGAAATACTGATAGTCTGATAGAAACAAAAACAACACTATCTCCAATAGAGTTCGTTTCTAAAATTGAACCAGAAACCTCCATCATTTAGTTAAAGCGGCCCGTAAATTTGATTCATAACAAATGTAAAATCTTGCTCCCAAACAATGATAAGATTAATAATATATTTAAAGACATTTCATTCTAGGCTTCGAGGAATTAGCGGCTCGTCACTCTTTCTTAATAAGATTCCTCATTCCTACCAATCTTGAAATTATTATGAGCTTGCGTATCACATCACTTGTATTTGTAATACACTCCCCAGAAAGGTTTATTTTAATGCTGTTGTTGATCGGAATTTATGAATGATGTAAAATGTTATTGTTTGAACACTAACAGACTTTTGCACTCATGAATCTCACAGTGGTTAGTTAGGTATTAGTTTTGAGAATGTGAGAAATTTGTTTTTCTCTTGGTTAAAGTTATTTTTTGTACAATAAGTCCGATGTTTCAGATTTTTCAAATGTTTATGATGTAATAATCTAGTGATATACTGCTAACTTTTGCTGGTAAAAATGTCTAGAAAATGTTTTATTGAGCTGCTATTGTTAAAAATACACTTTTGAGTGCGAGGAATGAACAATTCACATATTCATCGCTGAAAACGCCGATAATTTTCAACTTATTTTGAAGAAATATCAGTTTTTTTCTAAATGACACTAGATTTGTATAGATTTCTAACATTTCTAATCTCATCCGTTCTAAAGCAACCGGTCAGTATTCGAGATCAACGTATATTCAGTTCTTTGAAACACGCAGTCCGTGTGCAGTCGTTAGCTTATATTGTCGATAATTATTTTCAGTATTCGGTGTGATTTTTTGACCTGATTTTTTCTATTTTCTTGTATTGTTATAAAATTTAGTTTTGGTATGTGTCTAACTAGCTATTTTTTGCAATTTGCTTTAAATTCACTCCAAAATAGTATTTTTTCTCAGGTGTCGACTTATACACACGAAATATAACATTATAGTTTTCGAAATCATTGCAGTCGGGAACACCACGAAATAGAAAATGAATTCGCAACTGGTAGTTTATTTTCTCTATCAAGTTGCCGTAGAAAAATAATTTTTATTTAGCTTAGATAATTTTTTACTGCAGGAAAGTAATGAACAAGCAGTTTTATTTGCCCGCAGACTTCATGAAGCTTTGATTTCTAATCAGCTTTCGGAATTTTGTGATGAACAGTCAACCAAAGCAAAAACCCCAGATTTAAAGCTACTGTGGTCGTTTATGTCAGCCCGTTCTATGAACTGCTCAAAAAAACGATATCTAGAGTTACTGTTGAATGGTGATTAGCATGTTACTGTATATTCTAAAATATTAATATAATTTTTCGCTTTTAGCAAAAAAATATTCAAGTTTTTGACTAACAGGGCTTAACATAATTTTCAATAAAATTCTGAGTAGAAAAGCTGAAAGAGACTAAAGAAGATAGCCGATGCGAAAACATCGATGAAGACTTAAATAGTTGCACTACGTATGATGACAGTTCTGATGATGTCGATGAAAGTGTGAATGGGTGTTTTGTGGCTCCATCAATAAACTTGAAGGACTTTTGCTCAGGTTTCTTTCGCGAATTAACTTTATATTGTATGTCGTTAGGTTAGTGAGCAGATATTAGTGGTAAGATATATTTACCATTAAATATTTTTTATCCAAAAATCTTTCTCTTCCCTTCCTCCCGACCAAATAATTAACTACTTGGTTTCCGTAGGTTGAATATATGTCAAATTTTTTATATTATCGTGTATTTAATCGTCTTTACAAAAATCAATAATAAAATTGAGTGACCAGTGAAATTAATTAAGCCCTGTTTACATATAACAGCTGAAGTAGATCTGCTGAAATCACTTTGTGAGAATGATTTACAATGGACAGTAAATACAGCCTTACGAAGAAAGCAGTTGTCATTGGCTTTGTTGATTGCATTCTGTTCTTCTGATGAAGAGATTGCGCGAAGCATTGTACTACACCTACAAGGTTTGTTGAAAATTATACCAATGACAGTTTTCGGTCCTCGTTCACTATATATATATATATAATCACTATATAAACGAGGCCACAATATAGAGGCAGAAAAAATCAGAGTTCTGGGTCACGATTTGGAACTTGAAAATTGGGGATGATTACATTCGGTACAATGAATATTTGGAATAATTCGTTGCAAATCATGAAGTTCATGATATTTTCCCATTTGATGAATTTGGAAAAATAGTCTCCTATTTGCCGAATTGGAAAACGGCAGGGCCTGATGGAGTTTATAAGCTCTTTATTAAGGAGTGCATCCAGACCCGTACAAAATAGTAAGACAGAATTGCCTGGCTGGGAACGAACAAGATCTATGGTTCTACAAAGAAACTACTATCTATTTCCCAAAGATGCCTCAAATAAAGGCAGCGACTTCAGGCCAATAACCTGCGTGTCAAACCTTCACTAGTTGACAACAAAATGTGTGACACGAGGCATGCAATTAGATATTACCACGAAAAGACTACTTGCAGACAACCAATTAGGAACTGTTGACCAGATTGCAAAAGATCAGGTATTCTTGAACCTGGCGGTATGCAAAGAGCATGGAAATCAGTTGTTTATCACGTGGAATAAAAAAGCGTTCGATTCAATTAGTGACAGCCACCTGATTAAGTGTATTAAAGGAATCAATATGATAGCGTAGACCGACAGGTTTCTGCGAAGCATCACCTCCAGATGGTCGGTTACATTGAAAAACAATGGAGAAACCGTAATGGAGAAAAAAATACGGCGGGAAATCCTCCAAGGTGACAGCCAATCTCCGCTGTTATTCGTTTCATGTATGGACCCGTTGAGCCGTAGGCTCAATATCAGATACCCAAGGGTGGAGGTTCCCACAGATCAAGGAATGTATGTAACAAACCATTTACTATTTGTGGATGATCTGAAACTTCTTGCTACCGACGAGGGTATCATGAAGCCATGGCCGAAGAAGTCAAAAGTTCTTTGAAATAGTAGGGTTAGAAGTGAATCCAACAAAGTCAGCCACTAATACTGAGGTATGAGCTGATAAGGCGGCACTCTTGGAAGGAACTCAAGGATATAAATACCTTGGCATAATGGAGGACAGGACTAGCGCTCGGACTCAAGAAAGCTACGATAAAGTGTGAGCAGAGTTTTTTGCAAGAATTGAACGACTAGCCAAAATTGCACTACATGGCAAGAATCTTGTCAAGGGAGTAAATGAGCATGCCATAGGATTAATAAATTATTATACTGAGGTGCTCAAACTGTAACCAGAGGACTTCCAAGCAACTAACCATGATATCAGACAGTTACTCATTAAGTACGGAATTCACATCCAACCTGCATGTTTGGAGAGACTGTACCTGCCAAAGGACAAGTTAGGAGTGGGCTTCACTGCGTTGAACAAAAAAGTGAGCTTATGCTTCCGCAACTTCATAACGTACTTGTAGAAACCGTGCCCATATCTACCAGAAGGATGGTGATTTCGAAGCAGGAAAAAGGCTCACAGCACAGTTTAGCAGTTATTGTGCCTTAGCTTGTGACTAAATACAACGTCGTAGAAAATTCAACCGTCGAAAAAGTATTAGTAGCTCAGAAAGCGTTCCCGTAGAGCGGAGTAGAAAAGAAAATTCGTCATGCAAAGATGCGCAGTAATGAACCAGCCTCAATATCAGATTCATCAATGTGGTTACCATTCAAAAATATACTATCTCACAGGATGAAGCGCGTTACTGTCACCTCCAGACAGAAATACGTTTGGAGCTGAGAAAAGTATGTGCCCACATTGTAAAGAACATGCGAAGACGTGGACCATCTAGCAACGTAGTGCGAGAAAATGTTATGTCATGACTATACTAGAAGACACAGTGAAGTCCTACTATGCATCCACTTGGGACTCTACAAAAAATTTGATCTAAAAGCATTTCACACATGCAAAGCCACCCCGTTCAGGAAATCGTCGCTAATGAGAACGTGGAAATCAGAATCGACATGCGAGTGAAAACTGCAGTAAAAATAATAGCCTATCGACCGTACATCCTGATATACGATTGGAGGCGACACGAAGTACTCCTGATAGACAGGTTGATAGCAATCGATAATGAGAAGAAGCGACAGTACGATTTACTGGCTAATAAACTCGGGACAGAGATAAAATGCAGGACGAAAATAATTTCGCATGTGATGACTTGGGATGGGATAGTGACGAGCTTCCATAAACATTACATTACGTGAAAGAAATAAGAGTATCTGATCAAGTCGAGGCATCAATAGTACTCAAGGAAACGCCCGAAAGCATCTCATTTGATTTTTGTGAATTCGACGAGGACGAAGCAGTGGAGATCAGCACGATAGAACTGAGCGCGGGGCGAGTGCAACAAAAATACCAAAATACGATCCAGGCCAGAATCAATAATGAAGAAGAATAAACTCCTTGCCTAATCAATTCCAAAATAAATTTGTGTATATACTTTGCAGTGCTCTTAATAGCTATGTAGTAAAATGAGTGGTGATCCTATTCGATTTAATGAAATAAAGACAAACCAATTTTCTTCTGCTGTGGAAAAAAAAATGCTCCAAAAAAGTTTTTTCCAAGTTTCTAAATGTGTCAAAAGCATGAAACATGAGAAGTAAGACATTTGGACTTCTTTTTCTGAAATTAGAAACTTTCTGTTCATGAAAAAAAGGATTTTCCCGAAAGTATCTTTACTCCAGCATAAACCAGTATATTCGTGACATTGTTTAGAAGTATTCTCATTTTTCAGTGAAATCATCTTCATCTCTGATGCGCTTGTTAGCATTAATGGCATTTGGAATGTGGGATGAAATTATCAATTTGTGGAATATAGGAGAGTGGGATCAGCTGTTCACTTTGTTACTCTCTCGAGTTTGTGCTCCGTCTTATTGTTTTAAACTCTGCTAATGTCCTACTGATTACTTTACCGTTGTCAACAGTTTAGAACTTTAATTTTCAAAAATTGAACAGCATTAGTTTCCGTTTACTTATATTTAACATATGACGAAGACATAAAACTTGGAAATTATTGTTACAGGACTTGTGAAGCATTAACATAGCATTATTTGATGTCCTAAACAATATATTTATAATATAGGCTCCTTCTTCCAAAATTCGCCGTCTCTGTTCCAATTTGACCCAACGATTGATTGACGAAGGCGTAATACTCAACACTGCTTTGCCGGCAATTGTTGCAGACGATGTTGAGGCTGTAGTTGTTGCGATGGAAATGTATGAAAATAATGATTGTATGGCACTTACGACAATCCTCAGACAATGTGTTGGTGAGGTTTGATTTGAAGTGAAATTCGGCAATCATATTAGCCTGTTTTGTTGAAATTTAAGTAAGTCCAGAGATCAGAATTTGGTTCTGATTTGTATTGCAGAAGCATTTGCATGATCATAAAATTTGATATCAAACAATGTTTATTTAGGAGGTGGTAGCTCTAGAACTGTTAAAATGGGTAAAGAGTATAAAAGTGTTTTGTTGCATTTCATCAAGAAATTGGAGAAGGAAAGACAGTTCCGTCTAGCTTTGGATTTCTTGCAAATGATATCAAAAGATGACTACACGGAAGTCATTGATTTCTTTTGTTTATTTATATCCATTTTTAAACTCGTTCGAGTGAAATTACATCTCTTATTTTATTTTGAATCTAATTCTATCGAAGCGTAAGCTTTGAACTTTTAGGATATGCACTTATTATGTAGTAGTTTGCATCGCGCTGACCGCTATTCTGGGACTGAAGTTCAGCCTGGCGAAAACTTTATGGCAGAAACTGAGGCAGTTAGTACTCAAAATGCCCCCTTCGTCATTCGTATTGTAAGCTCTCAAGAAGCAAATGGATTATGGGATAATTCAAAGAAAAACAAATCAACTTCAACTTTTCCTTGTGTTACATCAAAAAAATCAGTAATTTTGCATTTTTGATTGGGTGAAGTAGACTCATTTTTATTTCATTGTAATTTTCTTACTCATTTTTATTTCATTGTAATTTTTAGCACACTTGAATTTTACTTATGTATAAATTTTGATATTTCCTACGAAAATTCATTTTGCACTTTTCATACAATCTTGTACTTCATTTTTTAGGAACCATTATTCACAACAAATAACTCATCCACGTTCTTTTTACTTCCAAATCAAATACGGCATCAGCAATACCAGCACCAAATGCAGCTTTGTCATTTAAAGCAATATCAAGTGCAACGAAATCGACAGCAGCAAAATCAACTATGCCAAGATCAGCTTCATAATAAACAACAACAGTATCAACAGCACGAACACGAGCATCCTCAATATCATCAAGGTTATCAACGCAAATTTCAGCAATATCTATGACAACAACATAAGCTAAATCACAGTTTACAACAGGATGAACACCAGTGGCATCATTTATCATATCAGGCAGTTCTACAAACATTTTTTCTTACCTTATTCCCAAACATGTGTGGAATCAAAGATCGCGGATGAAAGTTAATTAGTCATTTGAATCACGTATTTGCTAGTCAGGGTCCTAAACAAAAGAGCATGGATTTGTCGGTTTCATTGAGAGAGATTTCAGATGACGATACTTCAGGTTTCTTCTCATTGGTTTGGTTATATCGTGTAGCACCGGAGTTTCACTTTTCTATAGTTTTTGTTTTTCTATTGTCAGATATATTTTTTTCATAAATTTAAATTGTAAAAAAAATTTGTAGATGAGGAGCACGCTTATAGTAGCACAAACAATCTATCCAGAATAAGTGGAAAAGAAAAAGAAATAAACGATTCAATTCTAGCAACAAAAAGCGTTCGAAACTCTTTTTTCCCCATGCAATATTCTTCTGTTTTAACACAGGATATCACATGTGCAAATCAGTATCCGGAGCTTCCTATTCAGTTAACATTATCCAGTGCTGATAATCATTTCATTAATAATCTAAGACGTGTTATCTTTGACATTCGACAGAAAACATCGGAACTGGTAACTACGTAAATGAAAACATATGTTTTAGTTTAATTTACTTGCTATTGACTAGAGAAAAATTTGCTGTAGACATTTAAAGACTGGTAATTTCAGATGCACTTATTTTCCTGTACTTTCATTACAGGTGACTTCGCGTAAAATGGATAATGTAGAACAAAAAATTATTTGGGAGCTAATACCTCGACTTGCTCAAGTAAAAGTGTGTTTCATTGCAAATATATAATTTGATCACAATTGAATATTGGAAATATTTTCATTTCATAACATGATTTACATTCCAATTACTGATTTAGTTTTCTCGTGCTACACTCCTCAGTTTCTACGAACTAGCCGACTGTCTGGTTTTTGGAGATTACGGTCGCTGTAATCAAATAGTCACTCATTTAGCAACAGGTATCGAATTCGCTGAACTCTCAGCTATATTGCCTGGAATGAAGACGTTAATTGCATCAGCCTGTCAGCATTTGCATTGACGTTAATGACATAACTTGCGATTCTCACAGTTGCTTATGGGTTTTGTTTGCTTTACTGCCGATAGGAATATAGTTGAGAATAGTGGTTATGATGTTTAGTCATATATATATATATATAATATTTCTTTTAATCTCCGCATTTTAAGTTAAGTTCTTATTGTTTATTGTTTTTTCATGAATAATTACGAATGCACTTCTTCTTCTGATGTTTTTCCTATCTATTATTCAAAAGTTTTAATCTACTTGCTGCTAGGAATCTTTAGTTTTTGTTTCTGTCTAATAAAAAACAGTTTTTACTTATGTATGATCTTGCCAAGTAAACAACACATTACCATAAATTATGCTAAGAGTTGAAAGTAAAGTGATGCCATTTTAAATTTAATGCTAGTTGGAGATGGCAGTAGTAATTTTAGACTCGTTGACCCTTGTTGCTTTTGTTAACATCTGCTAAATCTATGTTTCGTATAGTGAATGTTGTCAGAAAACTAGGGTTGTAACCGATGAGTGTTACCGACAAAATGGAGGGATTTGCAATCACCAAATAGGATATGGGGAAGGTGTTGAAATAATAATGGGCTGGTTTCTTAAATGATTCGATTAGGTAGACATATAAGGAGGTAATGGTGTATTGTATGTGTTTGTACTTTGTTGATCTACAAGATTTAGGTTGTATCAATGAAAACTGGTTCAGTTAGGTGAGTGTAGGTTCGTCTATTGCAACAGCTTGCGGTCATTGTTTAACCTTTTCGTCAAATGGTTGCCCCACTTTATAGCATCATAGGAAGATAAGGGAAGAAAGATTACCTGGTGGGTTTTGAAGGACGAACGTGATGATACCTGCTGAACATATTTTCTTTGCGACAGGTTAGAAAAATAACTACTTTAATTTTTCCCATTTTTATTGCCTGAAGTGCGGAAATTACTTGTAATAGTTGTGATTTTTATGTTACTTTCACCTCTTGTATTTTGCATATTGTTCAACCTCAAAGTAATTCCCTTGTATTTCTTTAGCGATTTACTACTTGAATTACACTGCATTGTATCCTCAATAAATATTTTGAATAGCCGATCTCTTATAATGCGCACTTGTAGTAGAAATATAATAATTTTCATGCAAATAAAATGAACTGCTTCTTATAGTTAGTTGATTTGAAAAAATTTAGTCTTTGTAACTGTTGTAAGCAACGTATTAGAACGACGAGATGTACCTCCATGCCCATTTGGTGCAAGACCAATGTATCGTCCTGATGGCCAACCACGTAAATGTCTCCCTCATCAGAACAGCTTATGTGTAAACGCTTTACCTGATCAGGTTAGTTCTGTGACTAACGTTAATCTAAAGCGAAAAATAGGTTTCACGACAGAAAATCCGCTGCAAGCTAATTTTTTAAAAGTATCTGAAATTGTATCAATCGAAAAGCTGGAGAAAATTGCATACTTCAAGTTCTATAAGTTTTTGAGCGGAAACGTTATGGCTTCGTACAGGAATGTCACTTGCACATGCATTAATTAATGAGTGTGATTAAAACTCGATATTGTATGGAATTAAAAAATTGTAGTTATTCCCTTTTAACCGTTTCTAAATATTAGAACTTTCAATGTCATATAGTTTGTTCATGTTTTAAGAAACAGATTTATATATTTCGAATTAACAGCCTTATAACTAACTATTAGTACAATTCATTGAAGACAGTTTACTAAGTTTTAGAAAGTTAATCAAAATTTGACTAGGAAATTTTTACTTTATCAATCTCATATTTTTATTCCTTGTAATTTTCTGTAGACTAAAAATGTACAAAATTTTCAATAATATCTTTTGGATTACGTATACTTTGAAGCCTAACGCATCCACAGTTTGTTGTTGGCACAATCAAGTTGACTATTTTTGTTGCTTGGATGTGGTACCTATAGAATGCCCTGACTATCATAATGTTACCGTTGTTGTGCATAACGCATATCCGCAGAATCCATTCGCTTTACGATCGTTTCATTTCAGGTGAAACGTTGAACTTTTAACTCATAAATATTTCTACAATGATGCTAAATTTGGGCTGTAAATTTACTAGAACTAGAGGCTAATTTGATCTAGATTTAATCCCTGCAAGGAATTCAGGAGTTATTGATAGGTGTGCCAATTGGTTTTTGAATAATTTGCATTAAAAAATGTTCTTCTTTACTGAATGAATAGACTTGAACTCTAAGAAAGTGCACACGTTGTTTTTGGAATGAAGAACACCATTTTTCAGAAACTGATATCTTCATATGAACTTTAAAAAATTTTGAATGAATCATTATAAATATTGTTATTTTGAAGTAATGCTCAATAATTAAAGTTTACAGTTTCATAAATGTCAAATGTTAATGAGAGATTATTTTGCTAGAAAATTTTCAACGAAATTAGTATTGTGCGCAAAATATAAGTAATGAATGTCTAGCACATTAAATAATCAGTTTCAAATAAAAATATTTTAGATTCAATAAACACAGCATTCAAAAGTCATCTTTATTGCAATTCTTAATTCTGGATTAAATCATAATTTTATGTGCTAAAAAGTTTGTAGAGAAGGAATCGAAGAAGAAATAGCTGCAATGACACAGGATTTAATTAACGATAATACTGTGCGTAACGAAAACGGTTTTCTGGTCAGACATAACAAAAAAGAAGAGTAATTCTTTACTGAATAACGGTTTTTCACTTCCTTGTCTGTTTTATTGTTGGCATTTAAATCAAACGTAATTTGTATCATTTGAGAAAATTGAATATATCAGTTTTTGTTCAAAAGAAAATACAGTTACGATCACTGAAGTGCTTTTGTAACAGTTCCATATTGGAAGTGATGTTTTTATATTTGAATTCTTTTGAATGTAAAAATGAACAAATATTTATTTGTTCAGTAATACAACAATCATTTATTACATAACTGGATCGCATTTACGTCAAAAATTTACGAAAAATAAATTATTGAAAACCAATCGCCTTAAGTCCCAGTTTTTGCACTGCCTAGCAAATCATTTCAAAATCTATCGAGTTTGAATAAAGATACCCGAACAGTTCTAGTCCCGGTGATGACTACTATACATAAAATGCGAATATGAGTTCTCTTATTTCTTTTTTTAACACCCAAAAAAGCGTATTTGTGATATGAATTCCGAATATAAATAAGAAACCGAAGTATCCTAAGAATATCATGTTTTACTTCATTTGTTCGATAGATTTTCTTAGCATCAATAATTTTGAAATTAAAAATAGATTTGCAGTCTCAGACAAAGTATTGTTTGATCAACATATAAGTAATAGTTAACCATCGTTCTAAGTAATCATTAGCTTGTTACTACAAATTGTTGATTGTGTTGAAAAACATACGAACTCTGAGGAATAAATAGACGACGAAAATGTGTTTCACAGAATATACTGCCATCCGTTGATCGCTGACAATTTTCCACTCTAAATCTGTTACTGTCAGAAAAAAGAAAACGTGAACGAGGAAAGGAGTTTTACTTGTCTTACTGATTGAAATAAAATCTTCCTATGCTTCTTTTATCCATTTATATTTCATTGTAAACTTCTTGCGGCAGTGTTGGAGCAAGAATAATTTATGAACTGATTGGATTTAAAATGTATGATGAGAAGCAGATGGGTGAAGGAGTAGTAGCACTGTAACAAATGTGCAAGCAAAATTTGCTGACCGATGCTTTTACTCTTTATTTGCTTTTTTCATTTAGTGTTAGAGTGATTAATATGAAATTTAGTTTGTTATCAATTACAGCATTTACGGTGTTAGATAGCAAAAAAACATGCAACAATGTCAGTTAGAAATGAAAGTAGAATCAAATTAACTAAATAACTTAAAATTGAGCAGCAGAAGTAAATGAGCAAAAATATGTAGTAATCATAAATTCTTTAAGTACTTTTGTCGATTTAATAGCGATTGGATATTACTGTAGATAAGAGTATTACAAATACAAAAGTTGCCGAATATTTGATCTTAAGTGCAAAAATCAACATTTTAACATAATTTTTAATAATACAAAACAGGTTCTTACTAATAGAAATTTAAAACAATGAAGTGTGTTATTAAGCAGTTTTTTATGGGACTAACTTCTGAAAAATATGTGATATGTCCACCACCACCTTGAAACAAAACCAAAAGCATATCACTATGCAATAACAGTAAACCAGAAAGTGTCTTCCTTTGTCAATTAGCTTGATCTCAAAACACAGTACATCTAGCATTTGAAAAGCTGTAATTTCTGATTGAATACAATCTAAAAATGTTTCTTTAAAGATCTTGGCTGACGCTAATAGGAAGATTGTTTCAAGTCTGATATCTATTTCTCCAAATTAAAATTAAAATTAATGCGAATCATCACATAGAATTACTATACTTTAATCTTAGATAAATTTTTTGCTTACTTAATTGCTTTTTTTTCTTACTTTCTTACTTTGAAATTAAAAAATTTCAAAGATAAAACGGTCATATGACATACTGAAAAAATGCACATGAGCTGATTGTGAAACATTTTTGATGAATTTTTAAAATAGACTAATTAAATTACAGAAATTGAAATTTTTTAATTCTTTGCAAATCCCAAATATGTAGTTCACTTATTTAATTATAACAGAATTTTTACCTTAGATGCAGACCACAATGTTTACATCGGAAACACTTCAAGTGATATACTTGTGAAAGGCACTGCAAGCGTTCGGCAAGATAAACAGCTTCACCGCAACAACTACATCGAGGAGATGATGCCACACGAGCATTCCAAATCTGAATTTTATGTTAAATTCATGCAATGTGAGGAGATGAGAAACATTCCTTACTTTTTAAATTAAATTAGAAAATAGGTGACGAAGTACAGAAAAAAAAATATTGAAAGCAGTCATTTTTCAAAATTTTTTAATTCATTCCTCTCAAAATTCTTAATATTAATCCCTTCTTGTTGCATTTATTTTTTCTTCTGCTTTTGGTTATGATTATAATATAAGAGAATTCATTGTTAACAGAAGTAAATCAAAATTATCATGAAAATCAAGATCAAAAATGGTTATTGAATAATATTATCGTGAGTTCTCTTTAGAAAATCCAATACACAAACATCTCTTATGCATCATTTACAGATGCAGTAAAGATGAAGTATTAAAGCAGACAAATAAAATTTAATGGAAAGCGCAATCAATCCGCGTTAGCTGAGTAGAGTTATTGCCTGGTTATGAAAAATTATTTTTATTAAAATCAGTAATTGTATTAATTTTTATTCACTTTCAAACGCAAAGCAAAATTATGCAAAGAAGAAAAAAAACATGCGATATTAAAATTTTTTCTGTGTCAATCAATCTGAAATGAATGTGATCGAAATACTTTCAAATAATTTTAATTGAAAAACAAATAAAATCAAATAAGTCAAAGAAAAATTTTGGATCATAAAGAAAATGAACAATTCCATAATAGGCACTGTAATATAGTCAGTATGCTTACTTAACGTTCGTTTTCTTCTGCATATGTTACTTTTCCTGCAAAATGTTAGTTGAAACTACTCTCAACATTTATAAATTATCGAGTTTGCAATTTTCGTTTTGCAAACAATTACTATTTTTTCGTTTTGATAAAGTATTCATCAGTTAATTATTTTGTTACAAATTCTATAATACTTAATTAATTATAAAAAGTGTTTAATAGAGAAATTTTTAAAAATTATAGCAGAAAGATGACATAATCTGAATGATTTGCTGACATATTTTTTAATGATTAACTTGGTAAAATGAAAGTAGCACAATTATCTACCAAGAACATCTTAAATTAATTTATATAATATCATAGTATTCAGAAAGGATTAGCTTAATAAAGTAGAAAAAATGAATAATTATCACAAAGAGACTTGAGATGATTGCGAAGTGTTTTATTTGTGAAGCAAAACAAACTTACTGCTTTTACTACATTTTTTTGTGGCAATTTGCCTTTTTCAGCTTTTTTCGCTTCTTTCTTCTGAATCTTTTCCCATTTGGCAGCCATTTTAGAAGCATGATCAGCAACAACACAGATTTCGTCTTTTTCCTGTCCAATCGATTCTTCTTCGAGAGTTTCTTCTTGCGCAGCTGCAGCTTCCTTCTCACCTTTAAATAATTCTCGATTTACATATGCATTTTCATAACACACATGTCTTGAATGGTAGTTAAGCCACAATTCATATTTTTACATAGAGGGTAAAAAATTTCTTTCAACCATATATCAGTCAAGTTATGCATAAAAATTTATAGCAAATCAACTCACGTCTTAATTGTTCAAATTCTTCTTCAAGTCTTCGACGTTTTTGTTCAGCTGTTTCAGTTCCATCTTCTTTGCCAGCATTTTCGAATTGCTCTTTCAAATTACGTGCAGCTATCTTGAAAAATATTGCTTAAATTTACAACATGCAAAAATTTGGGTTTTCAAAAATCACACAATACAAATTATAATACACTCTAAAAAGCTGCAGAAAAGAATTGAAATTTTTGCAACTAAACACAACTGATTACCTTAATCTCATCAAGATCACTAGGTCTTTCATGCTTGATCTTAGATTCTTCTTCTTTGCCAATATTTGTAAACTTTTGCATAAGATTTTTGACGTCAAAACTATCATCATCTTCTATTTCATCATCTGTAATCAGTTTTTGCGAATTTCGTTCAACAACTACTATAAATATTTTTGATATAAATAATGATGTAGTGAAACCCACATCTGCGTTGATTTCTGATTTTTTATGAACGAAATTAAATTTAAAATCGTAAAAAGGATAACTAGTCATTAGAGAACAAAAAAATACAAAATCTAAAGGAAATTTATGTCAAAAGAAGCATTTGTGATACAGTTTTGACAGTGGCTATTGTCAGTAATGCTTTTATAAAAGTTGAATTGATATTATCAGTGCAAAATAGCGCTTCATAAATGATAAACCTTCATATTCTATTAGGCGTCTGTTCACTGGTTCTGGTACAGCACCTTCTTTCTTATCCCACTTGCTCACATGTTTTTCCTGTTTGAAAATACAGTTAAATTATGATATGTAATTGCTTAAAGTTTTCAAGTTTTTATAATGCAATACATTGTAACTATTAGCAAAAACTGCCTGTGACTCAATTTTGATATAATTACTCTAAATATATATTATTACTTTCATGACATATCTCTGACTACCTTCGAATGACTATCTGAAGTAGTTGACTGAGCTCCTTCAGCATCAATTTGTCGAAACTTTTCTCTGGCTTTGCTTGCTATCTTAATTTCTACATCCAACTTTTTGTCTAAAAACAATCTTAAAAAATGTTATAATATCTTTAAATTTTTGCAATTTAAAAAATCTAATCAAAAATTTCCTTGCTTGAACAAGTTTATGAAAAATAACCAAATAAAATAAATGCAACCTTCTGATGCATTTCTGGGTGCTTCACCTTTTTCAAAACGATTTTTTATCGCTCCAATTTGAATCTCTCTATCATTTTCTACATCTTCAGCATCACTAGATGCCTGTGATCATAAATATTTTTCCATAGAAAGAGAAGAAAATGAAAATTTTACTTAAAATTTTTATTGGTAGTAAGAAAAACGCGTCATTTGGTTTTTCTAATATTTGTACAATTTTAATGAATTACCCTCAAAGAGAACAATTTATTGAATTTAAAAGTGTAAATATTGCTGATATAATTGCTGAAAGAGATGAGGTTATTCAATGATATAATCACATGTGTATTTAGTAAAAATAAAATAGTTCTATATAGATTTAATAAAAGTAAATATCTTATTAGTACTTTTTCCATAGCATTTCTCTGAGCAACTTCACGTCTAGCAAGCTTATATCTTAAGAATTCTTCCTCAATTTCTTTCTTCTTCATTTCTGCTCTTTCTTCAGAAGTCATCTCCGAACTTTCTTCTCCCTTAAAGCAATTTTTTTGCATTACTGTTTCTTCGCATTACTTTTTTAAACTAATTTTTCATTTTTGATAGCTTTTATTTCAACTTAATACCTTTTCAAAAGCTGATTTGATGTTGCTAAGATCTCCAACGTTGGGTATGTCTATTTCAATCTTTTGAACTTGAATATCACCTTCACCCTTTTCAAATCTTTCTTTGACGTTTTGAAGCTCTAAATACTATTATTATCTTGCGTGGTAGAATCCAAAAATTGTTTTTTTTTACAAAAGATCAAGAAATTTATGCATCCAATTCCATGACTAAAAAAATTTTCAAATTCATTCTCATATTTTTCTTGAAGCAAACTTTTTTGAACATCATAAGAATCAAATTTGATATACTTAATATTCTTTTAACCATATTTATAGATTTTAAATTAGAAGATAGTGTCTAATATAATAATATATGTCTTTTATTTATAAATCTGAAGTTTTAACGTTTTTGTCAAGAATTTTAGAATTATCCAAAGGAAGTTTCAATTAGACATAACTGTTTGATTATAGAAAGACACGATAAAAAACCTTAAGTGCTGTTTATCAGAGTATGTCTTACTATTTATGAAAATATGCCATATGAAAATTCTTATTATCTTTTCAGAAAAAAATTGGAAATATAAAGAAAAATTTGAAACTTTTGAATTCAAGCTCTTCGAGCTCAGCTGATGTCTTTTCAATTGGCCCAGCCTGAAATGCAGAGCCTTCCAAGAAAGATCTTCGAGCATCAGCTACTCCTAAATTTAGTTTCATTCACATACATTTATTTTAATCAAAGATGTAAAAAAAAGTTGTACCATTAGGCTACCACTATATAATTCTATTATGCAATAAAAATTTGAATCTATCGACCAATTGCAAATGCTGGAAAAGATCTGTGAAGATTTTCTAACTCTTAAAACAATAAGAAACGTTAGTTCGAGGAAATTATGATGGAATTTTAGCCAAAAAAACTGGCTAAAATATAAGATTCAATCTACGCTAGTCAATATGGTACAAACCTGAAGTATCAAGTGCACTCATATCCCATTGTTTGACAACTTTTTGTTCAGCTTCTGTTACTTCATGAAAACGTTCTTTTACTCCAATTAAGTTTTGTAGCTCTTTTAAATCATCTTTGGATATATCTTTCATATCAGTACTTTGCACATTTCCTGTTTTCCATCTATTCTTGATATCACTTACCTAAATTTTTCTTCCCAAATTATTTCCCATATTAAAAATTCAATTTACCGACAGAATTTTAACCATTATATTAATTAATTTATAAACAAAAAGATATCGTGGAAAAAATCAACTCAATATGGAAAGAAGTAGTATTAATTTTACCCAAAAACTATTATTTATTGATATTTGATTTGACAAATTATATAAAACGAACTTGTTCAAAGTTTAATTCTTCCTTGCGATGTTTTTTGTCTTCACGGACTACATTTGGATCTCGATTATCATTTTCATCTTCTTCTCCATCAGGTTCCTCGATGGCTGTACCCGAAACAAATCTTCAAAAAACTTGATCAACATGACAAATTTAATTAATAACGCTTAATGCAATATTTTGCTTCTTAAAATTATAGAAAGCACTTCACTCAAAAGTTATTTTCGCATTTATTGGAACTTGTTATATTTTTGAAAACAGAAATACCTGAAATGATTCAAAGTTAAAATTTTTATTGCTTTAAAATTGTAAGTTATTTAATATTCGAAGACTTAAATTTTTGATTATTCCCATTGAATACTTCAAATGGTCTCATTAATATCAGTTATTGTTAAATATTGAATTATACTTTGTTATTAGCAGTTTCAGATATCGAAAATAGTATTACTTACTGAACTAAAGACATACTTTTCTAAATTAGTTTTCACTTTCCCTGCAACGATTTCCTCAGCGACACTTTTTTTTTCAATGGGCGCAGATTCTGCCTCTTTTGCAGAACTTTCCCAATCTCCTTTTCGAGCTTTTAGTGATCCAATAATATACAAGTCATCTATTTTTCCACCACCTAAAATTAACAAATATATTAGAAATATGAAGAAGTTCATTAAAACAAAAGCTCATATGACTGTGATTATTAGCAATGTTATTCAAATAAATTCCAAAGAAACGAGCAAACTAAACATGTTAAAATTATCAAAAACAAACATGAACTGAAGTAAGTGCTGTCTTATTTTTAGATAGAAAATTAATGTGTGCTATGAAGCATTTTAAATATATGCGAATCCTTATTGTCAAAAGCTGCAAAAAAGTGACGACATATAAGAAAATAAAAAAATAATAACAAGAAAAGCATTTTAAAAAATCTAGTAAAATTCAGAACGATTAGTAGGATTAAGCAATGTAATCAAAGACTACACATGGAAAGCATAAAATTATCTATAGGATAGCTGACAATTCATTTAGGATTTAAAGTTTTAAAATTATAATTTTTTCACTGCATTTCAGTAAAAGCGATCATTTCATACCAGTGAAAGTAAAATATTAAAGCAAATATATTTTGATTTGCAGGGTTGAAAATGAGGTATTGTGTATTCAGTACATCAATTAGATAAAAATGTGCACCTGTAATTGATACGCAAACACCGCTAGCGTTGTCCATCACATAATAAGATCAAATGTGGTCAATGAACCGAAGAAATTTAATCGGTCATATTTTTGATGCCTTATCATCATGTAATATCAACCCATCCCCTTATTTGTTATCAAGCAAAGGAATACATCGTCATAATTGCAGTATATATATATATATATTGAAATACATATAGTGAAATACATATTAGCACACATTGCAATGTAAACGAGTAAAAAAAAACATAAATGAAATAAAACCTTACTTCTGACTACATCACTTGCTAATTGTCGAGGTTTTGACGATATTGCATACTCTTCTTCATCCTCTTCTATTCGATCATCTTCTAAATTAGATATGAATTAAAAATGGAAACAATTTATTGAAATTATTTGCTTGACATGCATCGTCGATACCATATTGAAGAATGCAATTTTTTGTAGAATAAACCAGGAAAATTGAGGAACAAAATTTATGAAGTACCGAAATCGTCAGTAATGTCAACCACAGTATTGAGATAAAGTCTTCATGTAAAACATACCTTCTGTTGTGGCTGGATCCATTGTTTTTGCAATTTCAGGATGAAATATCTCTATATAATGTACTTTACATAGCAATCGCCCTTCATGCATATTATAATTTGTTGGTCTCAAAAACATCGTTATTCAGAAAGCACATGACTTATAAATAATATATCTTTCATGAAAGAAAAAGGGATAATGATTTGAACTGCCAATATTACAGAAATTGAAAATATCTATAAAATATCTTTGTATGAAAAAAGTTTGATTGCTATTTTTATGCTTGCAACAGTTCTCTTTTTTAAGTACGTATCTAAATAAAAAGTCCCTTAAATATATAAGTACTAATCGTGGTAGAACTTGCTTACGTTAATTTTTTACCACATTTGAAGCATTTGAAGCATTGAAAATGATAATTTCTCTTATTAGCAAATATTCTTTCAACAGGATAAACAGTTTTCAAGCATGCAGCACATTCTCTTGGAACTTCATCAACTGCGAGATCGGGCTTAAAAAATAAATATATTAACTACCATTATTTTTCAATCTCTTTTTTTACAATTATAATTTCCAGTTTTTTCATGAAAAAAGGTATCTCCGGATATGGAAATAAAAAACTTTTCTTCTCAAAACCTGAGCAAATGTCCTCATTATACGCTTTTTATCTGCTTCTGAACGTTCAATTACTATTTTTTCACGTTCATAGTCATCCATTTTTTGCGGATTTTCAAAAGCGTCTTTAATATGTTCTAAATTATTTTTGCCAACACCAGTAAGATTTTTTTCCACACTTTTCAAACGTTCTTCAAGATCTTCTTTCATTACTTCGGGAAGATTTTCAAATTTGTCTTTAAACTTTGTATACTTTTCCTGAAAAAACCATAGCATTATTTAATTTCAAAAATAAAATTATGTAATATTGTAATAACGCCACGATTTAATTGAAAATGTATTAAATAATATCCAACAAATTAAGCAAATGTGTACAACGAATAGTAGAATAATAACGTTACCTTTAAAATATCTGCAATTTTTTTAAATTGCAGTCCAACTCAGTTGATAAATGCTTACATTATCGAATGCAAATGAAAAAACGTATATTAGTGAAATTTTTATTGGCTAATAAAAGTGTGAACTATGTTCAAAACTATCGTACCATTAACAACCATTTGCTCATCTTTTAGTCTGAAATTGGCTGAACACAAACCTTTGTTACGGCAATAAGTTGCTCCCGCTCTTCGTCAACCAGCCTTGATCCATCTTTCGATGGAGTTTTTATATTACCTAAATCTTAAGCATTGTTGATCAAAAAATATGCATGCAAAAAATTTTGCTTTCAAACGTATTTTATTAAGCAATTATTTATTTATCATAAAAATAGGACATAACTTTTTTAAAATATATAAATTTTAAAGTCTATTTACGCTAAAGTACCTGTACAATTTCACTTTATTCACTCCAAGATGATAGCAGTCTTCGCAATTTTGTGATTAATTTTCCATAAAATTGTTATTCTATGTAGAGTTTTAATATGCTTACATTCAGCACATGGCCAAATGTGGTAAAGATAATGATGTGTTTAGATAGATAATTGATTAGGTGAAACATGAGTAAGTAAGCCACAAAGCTTTGTGTTATTTTTTAATTAGAAAATAAAGTAAATTTTTACAATATTTATATAATTAAAGAAAGTGTACAATACTTTCAATCTTTACTGCAATCAATTATGCAAAAGAAATGCACATCAAAATAATACCATCAAAAATAATACCCTCAATAAAATCTTGCTTGATTTTATGTATTTCAGATTTTTCTTTTAACTGATTCAGTTCTTCTAATCGTTTTTCATCTTTAGCAGTTTCTTTCTGTTCCTTCAATGCGGCTTTCTAAAAAAATAGTAAAAAGAAGACAAAAAAAATTTAAAAAAAAATAGAAAACAAAAAAATTTCTGAAAGCGTAATATATTTGAATGATGATCCCTACCTTTTAGTCACTCACTTAATTGCATTTAAACAAACAAGCACAAAATAGTTCAATTAATCAAAGTCACAACACAATGCACAAATAGTAAACTATGACGTTTCTCATTGCTAACAGAAGTAACACGCCACGTATCATAGACGACATACAGTTCCATTATGCAACTTGTCAAAATACTACCTTCTTTAATTTACTGAAAATATTTCGTATTTATTTTATTTTTTAAAGTAAATAATTTTTTATATAATCGGCCGATTTCTACGCTTCATTTTATATGCTTTTCTTTCATTATAATTATGTGTTTAAATCAAATATTTTTTCCCTCTGATTCTGTACTTTTATAAGCTTATTTTTTCATTTCTGCTAGCATATTTCACGTCATGTTACTTCAGCTAAATATTCCACATGTTCCAAACATTTCTATAAATTTACAATGAATAACTTCCGACTTTTTGAAAATTGATGAATAAATTTCATGCCAGAATTATTATACAGATAACTAATCTGAAGATATACAAAAATGATAAGGGATAAAAGAGCAGTTTATATTCATTTAAGTGCCCGATATAAAGTTTTAATAAGCTTCATTAAAATGGTAAATTTATCTAATCTCGATTAGTAACAGAGCAAAATTTTGACTTTTGGAACTTAGAAAGTGTAGAACAAACAAACGTACAAGCGAAGAGATATCAGCAACAGACCGTCCTTCAATGTTTATCTTCGGTGGTGGACCTTTGAGAGATTCAGTATCACTATCCGAACTCACAGCGTAAGGATCTTCTTCTTCTATTTCTGTCATGAGCTGAATAATACAAAACCTGGCAAAATTAATTTTTAAAAAATTCATTAAAATTGCAGTCCTTATCTGATACAATAAGTATTTAACTTTCTCATAAATATACTCGATTTACATTTATGAGTGAAATAATACAAATTTACGTGATTTCAAAATGGTTCAATATTCCTTTTATGTATATAAATTATGCATAGATTTTGTATGGAGTTATGAATTAACAAATATTTTATTGCTATTACATGAATTTTTGAATAACTATATTTTTAAATATATTTATTGAATGTTATTAATATACCACACAGTATAGTATATTAAAGTAAGAGTAATTATATAATTTACATAAAAGAAATCAAAGGTTTTATGAAGAGTTTAGATGAATAAATGAGGGATTTATCTGATTTTAATCAAATCTATGACAGTGTAAACTGAAATATCATTTAGATCTAATAATAATAATAAATGGACAAAAGCTGCAGCAAAAAGAAGAAAATAATAAGTGCTGGTAAAAGATTTTTAAAATGTTTCACAGAATCAAAAATAGTAAATATATATGTTGAAAAAGTGAAGTATTTGTGGGAAGATGGAAGGAAAAGCGATTTTGCAGCAGCTGAAGAAAGCATTCTTTCGTTTATTCATCCTTGCACACACGCACACAGCAGGCAGTAGAAGCACTATCGTGTATTATTGCTCGTTTTGTTCTCAGCACTGCTCAAATCTTCACTCTACTCTCGACCCTAAACCGATATAATCTCGAACTTTACTGTTTGTGCTTAAAATTTTACACTGATGAAAAAGTATCATCAGAACGTGCTTTTCTTCCTTTCTACTCTCTTAAACTATAGCATATTTTGATGCTTATCTTAGAATTACTAATTGTCTCTATTTCAACTATCAAAAAAACTCTTTACTTATCTCATCAAGATCAAGTAATCACCAATCATTGCATTCATTAAATGTGAATATGATACAGAGACAGATTTAAAAATTTAATTCAAATTATTTGCTTAATATTTTTTTAAACATTCATTTAATAATTAGTTTAAATTAATGTTAATAAGTAGCACTGATTTTAAAATGTTGCATTGAACATTTGAAATTTCCATTTCTACTCGCTCGCATACATTTTTTCAAAACTATTATTGCAATTTTTGCATGTTTACAATGCTCATTAATGATAATTCTTATGGCTTGTATTAGAATCATTTTAAAATTTGAACTTTCCTACGTTTAGTCTGCAGTTACTTGACTAATAAGAAATGCTAAGGACCATACTAACTATTACTGTCGCTCTGAAGGATCACATATATTAGTCCAAAAAAGTAATCAATCACCTGATTTTGCTTCAAAATTGTGTAAAACAATGAATCAAAGAAAAAAATAGTGAAAAACAGTTCTTGTATATATAAAACATTGCATCGCAAAAATGCGTAATTTAGCTTCAATATATTGTAAGTTTTTTCACTGATTTTTAGTTACAAGAATAAGCAGAAGAATGAGTCTTTTGATTTCAGTTATGAGATTCAATTTTGCCTTAAATAGCACAGAATGCTTTAAAATCGTTTCAAATTATTGAGCGAAACAAAATTAATCAGTACTGACTGCTCTACATAACATTTTTAAAGCAGTTGATAGTTTGAAGAAATATTTACTCATTTTCTTTAAGCATAAAATCTTTGTTAATTTGCGAGAAAGAGAAAAGTGAAAGTAGCCATTTGTGAAGAAAAAACTTTAAACAATTAAAAATGAATTGAAGGGATAAGGAAAGGTAAGCGTAAGTAAGATAGGTAGCAAAGCAATTTTAAACTTGTCTGATTCACTCTGAGAAATGGAGTGAATTGGATGAGTGTCTGTTCTTACACCACATCAAATTCAATTTTTGTTTAAATTCAACGTAAGCACCACGGAAAGACTTTTGAGCAGTCAAGTGGTGTCGGTAAGAGTTTGCACAAGCACACAAGTTTCTCAGTGCTACGTACATCGGTAATGTTTAACAGCTGATAAAGCACAGTGATGATCAGCAACGCATTTATCTCTTGTTTTTCAATCATTTACTTTTTTACCCTTTATTTGTTAACTGAGTACGTCCCAATTCATTTCATTTCAGACATCATTTATATTAAGACGGTTGAGCTGCTTTTGAAATTTCTCAATAACACAGGTATGATCCATTACAGACATCGAACCTAATTGCATATATGTCTATTATCAATAATTATATAACCAAACCCGACCTCCGGCAAAATTATGAATGAAAACTCGACCATCCAATTAACAGCCTCTAAATAACCAAAGTACTATTGATGTTCATTTGACGTTTACTACTGTAACACTTAGGAAAATTGCGCCACATCTTGACTGCTTATTAATTTACGCTCTTTACCGCAGTCATGAGTGGATCGTGAAAGCTTTATACACTCCATTTCTGAGAAATGACACACTTTTCACCAAAGACTACTCTTTACTAAATAAGGTTTAGCCGAAAAACTCATATTCATATTATCATAATCAAGAGTAAAAAAGACAAGTGAAACCAGCACATGAAAAATAAATACCCAAAAGAAATATTAGTCAAAAATCTGAGGAAAATTACGAGAAAACCATAAATACATTACATATAAAAATAATAATCCGTATCAAATAACCAGTAACATTCAAAATATGACAATAGTTAATGCCCATAACCACAAGTAGATCTTATTTGACGAGAGAACGTTCAAGAACAGAGGTACAAAATATGAACAGAATGAGAAGCACTACAAACCTGATCCTGAGTAATGTTCTTTTTTCTCAAAGAATAATCCTAAACTTGAAGCGATATATATTTCATAAAATTTATTAGAAGTCATCAAACTCCACAGAAAGAAGACACACCCACATACGATGAACTGCAAAAAAGAACTATAAAGTTATTTATATCATAAACTCACACAAAGATGACCCAGAGATCACATAAAAAATAACTATGTTACGATGACTAAATCAATTAATCATTAAACTGCACGCTCTCTAACGCCATAGCAACAAAAAAAGAGTTATCAGCGTAAATCAACAACAACGGCTCCAAAAGAACTTTCGAAGTGCACGTCATCGCAATAAAGAAACAGAGCTGATGAATCTTTATGGGGATGAAAGCCTGTTTTACGACATTCACCAATTTCTTTCATACCACGCTCAGATAGACGAAATACTCCAACTCTGAAACAAGTTAATGTTACAAATCTGATGAGTAAAGATTTATTTAAAAGAAGATTTGAATCTGATATTGAAATGAAGCAACAATCACTCATTGAACTTGGGAGCGACGACGATTGCAATGGCTTCTGGCAGCATCATTTGATAAGAGCAATGAGTATGGAGATCAACGCTCGAAAGAAAAGCAGTTTGCGATGGATGAGTCTGGAAAAACGCAATTTTTTTAAAAAAATAATACAACTAACGGTAATGTGTTAAGAGAACAAATCCTCATCTAATGTCAGATTAAAAGGAATTTAACCCTCACATCAAATACTGTTGATCTAAAAACTGATGACTTTCAAACATGAAGAAACTGACGATAAATTTTTTAGGTCAGAATAAGGATCACAACCTAATTTTTCAAATACGTGAATTGGAGTAAAAGAGCATTGAATTTACTAAATGTGCAACACAAAAATGTACCCAACCAAAATACACAAATGTATAAATTGGAATAAATTTTTAATATTCTGCATCTGATGGTGATCAAGTAGCGCAAAATAATTTATTAGATGAAAAATGAAAAGTACATGTATCCATCCTAAAGTGACCAAATTGTTCGCATCTTGATACGCAAACACTTCTTCTTCGTTACGTGTATCACAGCTATCTGAGCCACCTGTTTGTTTCGGCACTACAGCATGTGTTATATGACATGACCTGCCACTAACCTTAAACAATATTATATCAATATTCTTAAAAAAGAAATCACGAGCAAGAACTACATTTTTTTTTTGAGCAAGCAATTTCTGCTCTAATTCTGATTTTCACTTTTCATTTTTAAATAAATTCAAGAATCTTTCTCGTCATGAATTAAGAAAAGGTAATTCGCCTAAAATATGTATTAATAAGCTTAATCTGATTACAACGCAAATTTTTGGAAACAATTAAACTAGCGTAATTAGCTCCACAAATATAAACTGTGATGCCACATATAAATCAAATTTCATTAAAAAATGGTGCAAAGTTTCACTGTATGAACAAAAATCATTAAAAGCAATGCAGATTCCAAATAAGCCAGAAAAACTTGCGAAAAATGAGTTTGGGAGGCAGAATATTTTTACACAATTAATTCTTAAAACACAAGAACAAAACTATGGTTACAAAAAACGTTAAATTAAGAAAGGTATAGGACAAACCATTGAACCACAAAGAATACCACATGTTTCCACATTTCGGTCGGTATTCATCTGTGCCAAGCGCATGAAATGTTCCACCAGATCACCAGCAACAACAACTTTTTTGTGATTAAGATTCCTGACAATATTATCTGATGAAATAATTATTTCAAAAGTTTATATATTTTTTGGAGCTAATCACGCTCCAAAAATTAACCTTACCAGATAATAGTGGTTATAAAGGATTGTGACTAATTTACATAATGAATGGAACAAAAAAAACTTAATGTTCTGCAAATCATAGTTATTTCAGGTAAAACGAAAGTACACATAGCAAAAAAAAAAACGCCAAAATACAATCATGAAACCTTCATGATATCAAATACAAGCTAAACAAAAATTAGTAACCCCTGCTGTTTATGTACATATGCCTATCTTTACTGTTAGTGGCAAAATTACACAAGTTACAAAGTCGGAATTTCGTGTAAGAGTGAGAAATACAAGAACGATCCAAAAAAATATGAGAACTAGTGTAACCTTTGTTCAGATGTATTTTCTAAACACGTTTCCATATAATCAGATAGATCAATTCTTTGAATAACTGCAATATCATGGTCAGGTAATACATCATTTCTATGCTTCATCACTGCATTCTGTAAACAGAAAGAAACAGTAAAACCAGTGTCTATAGCGAATTAAATGAATGATTTCAAAAATTTATTATAAATTCACAACAAAAACAAACAGCGGCAATCTTATCCCTATTTTGCTTTGCTTTGGCTGCTTCTTCTTCATACTTTTTCTTCAACTGCTCTTTAAGTAGTTCAGCTTTCAGAAGTGCGTCTCGAAGAGTAGCTTCTGCTTTGATTTTTTCAGATGATGAAAAACTTTTGTATTGTTTGTGTTTCGGCAGTTCATCAATCGATAGACTAAAGTAACAGCTATCAAATGCATGCTCCAAAAAGAAGAGAAAAATTTCAAAGGAGGGGAAAAAATCCTAACATTACAAAGTTTTTTAGAACTGAATTTTTATAATATTGGAATCAAAATTGCATAAAACACTGTGAACAAATCATAAAAAAGTTGGACTGATATACCTTTTACTGAATTAAAGTTTTGAAGCAATCAATGAATACTCAAGATAAGACATTTAAGGAGAGGAACAAAAACTAGTAAAGTTAACATTTAACATCATGCTGCAATGTATTTAAGATTGTTACATTAACACAACAGCAAAATGATAAGTAAAGCAAACCTTACAAATCGCATGTAGTAAATAAAAGCTTTTTCATAATCTTTATCCTCCATACAAAAGCCAGCAACACGATATATTTCATTTAGACTTCGATAATAACTAAAATAATCATCCCATACAAACTCCACTAACATGTTCATAAGTAAATAAGAAGAAAAAGATTATAATAAGTCATTATGAGAAATGCCGACTTCAGAGATGACTTTGTTTGCACTTCTAATCCCTATCCTTGCATCAAATAAGTCAGTACAAAAACTAGATACAGATGAAATTTCCAAATTTTGACAGATATGACTTATAAAAGCGATAAATAAGCCCGAAAACAACTGAATTAAGTGACACAATTCCTTAAAATTATACCGATTAATAGGAATTGATTGATTGACTTCTTGCGCCACGGCCATGTTTAGTGTGCGACGCATACGAAGATTTGGATCACAAATTACCTCCATTTTTTGTTCCGCCTTTAACATAAAAGGTACAAAATTTTCCAAACAATACAACAGATAGAGCTACCAGAATAAGATGCAAAATATCACACAATTACATGTTACTTGCACAAGCATGTGAATGACTTGTGTCATAAGGTGCAGCATTTCACAACTATGCAACATTTCATGAAAGGGTTTTATTTGAAAACATTATGGAAGAAATGATTGGGGCGGGGAAAATTTGAATTGGTTGCTGAGTATTTAAGATAGATTTAAAAGCATCCATTTAATATTATTTTACCGTCAGAAATGGGAGATATCGTTCATCGCATCGTTGATGCTATTCGTTACATAATTATAAAATTTATAGAGCGAATGGTTGAACGGAATGACCAAGTATGAAACAGTTAATCATTACTGTGCAAAATTTATATCCATTTCTGCTTTTTTCATATTTTTCGTATATTTTTTGAAAAAAACTTTCATTTTTGCTTTTTTACTTAAAGCAATTTAAAATTAGAATAGCTGTTTAATATTAATTGCAGTACAAATTGAAAGAATCTTTCAAAATATTTTTTAGTAAGCTGAAGGCAAAATTTTGCTATTTTTTAGTCATGAAGTAATATTTGGCTTGATCTGTCACTAAAATATGCAGCAGTTTATTATGACTGTTTTGTATCTCTTTGTTTTTACAAATTTTGTCACTTTTAGATTTAATTTTATGCTTAGAACTTTCAGATAAATAAAAAAAGGATCAACTTTTTTAAATATCGATCATTACTGACAGTATCAATTACTGTTTTTGTACTGATGCAGATATTAATTTTCTTGCTGAAAATGAATTTAACGGGTGTTTCATATGTGATTATGGCTCGTTTAAATCTTATCGTTGTACTGCAATTTGCTATGGTATTAGGATCAATTTTCTTGTGGCTAATGCTCTCTCCTACTGATGATAAGTTTGTTTTTTTGACCCTTGTGACTTTCTTAAAGCAAAATTTAAAATGTCATCAGGACATTGTTTTTTCGTGTTGTTATCTCTCAGACTTTTTAATTAAAGAAGTAGGGATCCATCGGAGGTGCCATCAAATTCATCTCAGAAACTTCGAGAACCGTACTGGGTTCAAAATATTCAACGAGTAAGATTTTCCTAATCGTTATAGTATTGAGAAGAGTGATAAAAATGTAATGTTTACCTTTCAATGGCAAAGTGCCGAATCAGCATTTGAATACTACGGTATTTTTATTATCAGAAGTTTCTTCCAGGCGTGCATAGCTATAACATTGTTTTTCTCTCATATCTGCTCAATTTTTTACTGTGTGGCGATTGGTAAAGAATCAAACATATTAGCAGTTATTTCATTCACGCTATTTGCAATTTATATTCACACTATATTTTTTTTAATTATTTACCTCCTGATGCGTACGATGTCTTACGTTTTGCTTCATTTTAGACCAAATAAATTTGATATTTTGAGGTAATTTTTTTTTGAACTTATGAATAATCAGTGATGTCTTGAGTTTGGCACCGTTTTCAATTTGCTATTTTCAAGAATTTCAATCTGTTAATGCTCAAAATGTTTATTACAAACATGATTTTCAGAATATTCGTCATGAATGACCGTTCAAATCGCAATTCTGTTGCTTTACTTGCCATTATTTTTGCTGTATGCGGTCTTTGGGTTGCAATGTCACCACCTAATATACGCTATGTAACGATCAAAATCAGAAATTTGCCACTAGCGCAGATAGGCTTTAGAATAGCTCTTTTGTCTGATCTTCACGTTGGACCAACTGTAGGTCATTCCAATGTTCAGAAAATGGTAGATATAATAAACTCCATTGGGCCAGGTTAATTCTTCATCTTCTTTTAACTATATTCTAGTTTTTATTATCAAGTACATAGCATTCGTTTAGATGTAATTGCGATTTCTGGTGATCTTGCCGACGGCTTTGTAAAACAGTTGAAAAAAGCTGTCTGTCCTCTGAAGAACTTAACTCCAAGATATGGGACATTTTTTGCAACAGGTGGAGACCATAAATATTAAACAATCATATTTCCACTTTTTTGCGTTTCTGCAAATATCTCACCTTCCTGCTAGGTAGGAAATTCATTTTTCAGTTCTGTGTCGGAAATAGTAAATTTGATAATGTTGCAATTTTGAAGCAAAGTAAAAAATACTGTAGGCAATCATGAATATCTTCATGGGAATGTTAATGAATGGTTCACATTTTTGAAGAAAATCGGAATTATTCCTCTACATAATGGAAATAAAAAAATCTCAATTAACGAGAGCGTAGTGTGTATAGCTGGAGCAGATGACTTGTTTGCACAATATTCAAGGTTGTTTCATTTATTTGTTAGAACACTTCATCCTATTTTCATTGTTTATAACACTCTTTCACATTGTGCTTTATAGTTTATAAATATTCTTTTTGTTTCTTCTATATCACGAAATCACACTTATATTTTATACCATACTTCGTTTTGTTACGCACAGACTAGTATTCATTCAGCTTTCAATTTGATGCCGAAACAAGTGATATCTAGTAGATGAGAGTAGAAAAATGACGTACTGAAATTACATTTTTTTTTTTTGCATTAACCATTAAGCTATTTAAAGTTTATCTTTAGGATTCCTGGACATGCAATGAATTATAGGAAGGCTTTACGGAGATGTAACAAAAACGATACAACAATTATTCTTATTCATCAACCAAATGCGGCGCAAATAATATTGAGAGATATTGAAATTGCTGAAAATGTTGATCTCATCCTTTCTGGTGATAAAAATCTGAATTCTTTTGCTAGATTTGAATGAATTCATTTAGTAAGTAAAAATTCAATAATTATTTTTAATAATGCTTTTCAGGGCATACACATGCTGGGCAAATGTATTTATTCATACCGCTGGTGTATATTTGGAATGCCTTTTTCCATGGTCTTTACTACGACAAAACAACTGAAACATATGTCTACGTTTCAGCTGGTGTTAATTACTTTGGCCCTCCTGTAAAAATTTTAGGTAAAAGAGAAATAACTTTGATTACGTTGCTAAGAAAATAGCTATGCCTTTTTTTCCGCTTATGAAGTACTGATATTTTTCACAGTCTCAATATATAATGAATAAAAGTAATTATTGTATGCTGTTAACATCTGCAAACAAAAGTCAATGAAAGATGTTATTTGACTGTGAAGTTTTGACGTGCAAATTTTATGCTAATTTGAGTATGAGAAGCTAAACTACTCTATATGTTGAAATTATATTGCGAAAAAAAAGATCGGATACATGGAGTTCTATCAAAAACTGAACAGAAGAGAAAAAAGAATAGAAACTGTGTACTGTAACACGCGCGAAAATGTTGTGAGCTGAAATTTTAAAATGACTGGAACTTCTCCATGTGAAGCAATAATTTAATTCGAGAAAATGAACCATACCACAGAAAGCATCGGTATACACTTGTGCTGAAATTAAAAAATAATGTTTTCGGACGTTACTGGGTGACATTTATCATTGACTGCTTGCATTACAAATTTCTCTAGAATTAATTTGTACTGAGAGAAGTCAATTTCATTTTTTTAACTAAAAGATTTGAATTTCACAACAACAGTCGGATGGTTAAACGTACTTCCTTCATCTGAAGCTATCAATAAGTGATGACTTGTTCACAAAATGAATGCTAGATTGAAAAAAACTGCCAACAGTGGTTGTTATCATGACAATCAAAAATAGACATATAATTGGAAGAGA